GGCCACACCTGCTTTGCCCACTCACCCTTCCACACTGTAGACTTTCCCAGCAGTGCAGCCTTAGCGCTGGATTGCACTTTTTTACTTATGTTCGTCTTGGATGAGATTGGGAGCCCCTGGATAGGAGGAAGGAGCGGGAGGGGGGTGTCATGCTTTATTTCATTTTTAAAATTTAATTTCTAACTTGCAAAACAGAATGTGGTACCTGTTCTCATGTCTTCCACAAAAGGTAGGATGAGGGATGGTTTTGGATGGATGAATAGGAGTATGCTTTTAAACTGTGTGTACAAATGTGAGTTATCCTGGGTTCAGTGACATCCAACATAATGTAGTGCCATCCTTAGTTGTGTGGTTGCCTACCCATAAGCCAAATCGATCCCAGATCAAAATAATTGGAAAAAAATCATATGACTGTACTGAACACTTTCCCATACATCGTTCTTCTCTAAGCAATAGAGCGTTGCGGTTGCTCACGTAGTATTTATGTCATCTGGGATATTCTAAGCAACTTAGATGACTTCAGGCACACAGGAGGATGTGTATAAATTCCATGGAAATACAAGCCCATTTAATATAAGGGACTTGGGTATTGCTAGTCCCAGTTACCTGTGGACCTCAAGGGACAGATGTGCATGCAGTTCAGGAGGCAAACTGTTGGAGAAACAGATGACTAGTTTGTAGAAAAGGCAGAGGAATGGAGAAAGGGGGAAATATGTACCTTCAAAACAAAGGCCAAAAACAAAAAACAGGCAAACAATCTGAGGGGTCTATTAAAGGGGTTTGGAATCTGGAGACTTCAGAAATAGAAACCAGACCAAAAGAATGAACCCTAAAACCACAGGTAGAATTTTGAAATATGAGAAAGAGTGTTTAGAAACAAAACTCTGTTTGATTCATGTCAACAGTCTGTCTACAAGCAAAGGAAGAAGGAAAGAATAACAAGACTATACACTAATATACGTGATATAATTGCAAACAACAGTCATTTTCTTTTTAAAAAAGAGTTATTTATTTCTTTGAGGGGAAGAATTACAGAAAAAGACAATCTTCCATCTGCTGTTTCACTCCCCCGCATGCCCCAGCAGCCAGAGTTAGGCTGACCCAGAGCCAGGAGCTTCTTACAGGTCTCCCATGTGGGGGCAGGGGCCCAGTGACAATAGCAGGGAGCTGAATTAGAAGTGGAGCAGCCAGGACTCGAACTGGCATCTTTATGCATTGCATGTGCTGCAGGCGGCAACTTTGCCCGCTGCACCCTGGTCGTTTTCGTATTATAACTTATCTTCTCTATCACGTTAAGCAGGTTATAGCGGTGGGTGTTTGGTGCGGCAGTTATGCCTTGTGGGATGCTCCTGTTCTGTATCCAAGCGCCTGGGTTTGAGTCCCACATGCATTCCTCCCAAGTAACTTCCTGCTCATGGGAAACCATGGGGGTAGCAGGTAATGGCTCAAGTTGTTGGGTCCCTGCCACTCACGTGGGAGACCCAGACTGAGTTCACAACTGCTCGTGTCAGCTCGATCCAGACTTCACTGCTGTGGGCTTTTAGAAAGTGAACAAGCTGGCAGGAGCAACCCCTCTCTCTCTCTCTTTCTCTCTTTCTCTCTCTCTCTCTTGCTCATTTGCTTTCAAATGAATAAGTAAATGAATTTTTTGAAAGGTTAAGATGATATGTTTTGTATACATGTGTTTGTACTTTAAACTAGGTTGCAGTTTTTTAGATATTATTTCAGAGGAGCATGTTGATGGAGGAGTCTTAAACAGCATTTTTTCAGGGCCTCTTGCAGAAAGAAGGTACATTGTCATTGAGGGCATTGTATTTGGCTCCTGTTCCAGATCTTTCCAAGGAAAGGAATCTCTATAGGGTCCTTTCTACAACATCTAGACCAGGGCTTCGCCAACTACTTAGGGTCAGGCATGCATGTGCACATGCTTTCCAATCTGTCACATGCTGATTCTTCTGTAACAATAGTTACTAGAAATATGAACCAGAAAAGTTAAACAAAACGCAAGATAAATTTCATCGGATTCAGCTAATAACCAATCATTCTGTCAAATGCCTGTAAACTTTTCTCCCTGCTTCCTTTCAACTTCTGCACTTACCTCATTGCAGATCGGCAGTGTTTGCTAACTGGCTCCTATGTGTCTTGAACACCTTGGCACAGCACCACAAAAGGCACTACGTGAGCATCTTTAGTATCAGACGTTACAAAGGATGTGGCAATTAATAAGAGGAGGACACTCATGTGCAGATTTTATAATGATGGCGATCTTAGGGACATCATCTCATCAGAAAACCCACGTGTTAAGGGAAAGTTGAAGACACAGAATGGAAAATGATTTGAGAATGAAAAATGTGTGTGTGTGTCCTAAGACTCATTGCCTTTCTCTTTCACACCAGAGTGAAATTTTTTCATGCTGCTGGAGAATCATTTTTAGTGCAACAGTTTTAAATTGATTCTTCATCATGAACAGCAGGATCACCATAGCTGCACACATATACCAATAAAACTAATATTAGCTATCTAATGATAGGTCCTAATAAATTTCATTGGGGTCTTAACCCTGTCATTTTGGGCACAGAATGCACTGTTATTATCACTGAACTTCAAGCCTCTCATTTTGGCTTCAGATGATTACAGCTGTGAATGCAGGACATGCTACAGTAGTTTTCAGTAACTGGGTTGGGTTCAGAGTTCCATATTCAAATGACTTCACTGAGATCAGAGGGAACAAGTTGTGGCCATGTGACTTTGATCTGTTTTCTGGAGTGACCTACAAAAATTTGGACTCCTAACGCTGTATTTTCTCAATAATTTCAGCAAACGAGCAGCTTTGAACATCTCATTTCACTACCCTAGAGCCTGAGGGTTGTGAAACCCTTCCAGCTGGAGTGGAGCCATCCCCAGCTGGCAGCGAGCCATGGCTCTCTGTCTCTAACCCCAGATGAAATTCTTCAAGTCCCTTCACTCACACCTTTCTCTCTCATGAAGGATTATGGACCGAACTTCTGCATGTGGACAAGCTTCACACTTGAAGTGAGCAAAGGATGGTCCATTCTCCCTTTAACCCCCATCCCTTCCATGTAGGTGCAGCCCAGCCAGATCCTTTTGTTTTTCTGTCTCAGTGTTGCATACAGGGTATCCTCCTATAAAGTCTGGTTTAATACAATCCAACATAAGCACTTAATCCATGCAAGTTGAATATTTTGCACATACATAATTTAATGGAAATATTGGTGAATATTTTGTCTTTAAAGTATGGGTTGTACATATTTTTCAACCTGTGCAGTTATCTCTGGCCTTTCTTCATTTTTCTTCTTTGGGCATTAAGTGTCTCCCATGCAGGTACTTACTGTTCTATTCATAACTCAAAGAAGAATAGATCTTGATATTGTGGGGTTTTAATGCCAACTTCACTTAAGCCTGATTTAGTTTATTCAAAAGAAAAAGCTATTACCACAGAGCCTCTTTAAAGAAAACACTTAGGAATATTGGTTCACACGTATAATGATTTTAGTATGAAAGAAGAAAAATTTATTTGATGCTAGCTGTGAAATGTGCTACTGAAGAAAGTTAATAGTATAGCCCTGTTTTTCAGGAATACAAAGATGTGAGAGAATGAATGTGAGTGATTAAAAGGGGGTATAGGAGTGGGAGTTGGGCCAGTGTTCCAGATGCTGTTGGGAATGGCTGCATTTCCTATCAAGTGCATGACTTCAGAAACTTACCTACTTCCGGTTCCAGCTTCCTGCTCATACGCACTCCAGCAACAGCAGGTGATGGCTAAAGTTCCTGAGATGCTGCTGTCCACTTGAAAGACCTAGCCTGGGTTGTGTGTGTCTGGCTTCAGTCTGGCTTCATTCGCCCCAGCTATTGCAGGCATTTGCAGTGTGTGTGAACCAGTGAAGGGGGGAGAATTCTTTGTCTCCTGTCTCTGTTTTTCCAACGGAAAAGGTGTGCGAAACAGTGACTTGCTGGTTCTTAAGTTTGAGCTTCGGCTTTTACCCATAGCGCATGCCATGTTTGCTGCAGGAGGTTGGCAGGTGGTTCTGGTGGTAGGATGAGCATGATCTGGGGACATTTTACAGGGTTGCTTCCTCAAGCGCCGTGTTGCTGTGTTGCTGTTGGTCGGGAGCCATTCTGCATTGTTCAGCCCCGGGGAAGGGGATTGTATTTATTTTTTATTTTACGTTATTTCAGCTGTTTTCACTTTTTTCTTTATTGTTGTCTCGCCTCCTACAGAGTTCCTTTGCAAGCACGTTGCTAGGGTAGGGGAAGTGCTCTGCCATGAGCAGAACCTTTCTCAGCAGGCCACATAGCTGCTTAGGCACGTCAGCTTAACCTGCTGTGGGTCTGAACCCACACTGCATCTGTTTCGGAGCTGGTTCTCCGTTAAAATGTGTAAAACCACTTCCAAGATGTCCGTGATCATGTTGGCTCAAGTGAAACACGCTTAATTTTTTTTTAACTTTTGGGAAATAAGTTGATATTTAAGATTAAGCTTAGTTTTATACTTTAACAAATGATAGTTTTCTGACTCAAGATGTTTAATTCTGTCACATTTTAGAATTTGTATTGCCACTTTCCTACTGTATAAATTTCAGAATGTCTTTTTCACCATACATATGTGTGTGCATGTGGGGTATGTGTGTGTGTGTGTGTGTGTGTGTGTGTGTGTTGATCAGTCAAGGAAATAGTAGGTGATGTTATGTCAAAATTCTGGCATTAATGGTCATTATCTTGTACTTTATCCATCAAGGGAAACTGTAGAATGTTTTACAGGTATATATTATAAATGTTACACTCTCCTTGCTGAAAGTTCTTGTATAAATAGGTATGTATCATCATCATTATTAACAAGAAAATAGCCATATTCTCAGAGCTAAGGAGCACTTTGGTATCATAATCATTTGAAATACAGAGGAAAGATGAATCATGCATAATGAACACATACTTTGGTAATGCCAGGAGTGTTTAACACGTGCCTCCTATTGATTCCACAGGACTACCTTGCCTGCATCAGGGACCAGACCAGACTTCCCCTGGGGACTGAAGAGAGAGCCTCCCTCTTTGGAAATATCCAGGATATCTACCATTTTAATAGGTAAGCTTATTTTCAAGTGACCATTCGCACTTGGCCACATTACAAATGCTCTCTAACATGGAAAGCAAAACCATCAGCAGGACCCCCTCAATCTGGGCCCCTTTTGTGGATACTCGTTCCCCAAAGTTTTCTTCCTGAAGTGTCCTAGTTCTCTCCATCCTTATGGCTCAGAAAAGAGTCCTCAGTGCCCTGAAAGGGCAGTGACATCTGACTTCTCTTTTTCTTTTGCTCATCGCCCTCATGAGTGTCAATCATACTTCATGGTAGAGCTTTATATTATTACATTTGCCACTCTTTCACCCCCTCCCCACGCAACCCTCCGAACACTCCTGCACAAAGACAAATATGGATTTCATTACAGCCCAAGTGTCTGCAACATCTTCTAGCCCATAGTAGGCATTCAAGCATTTATTGAATGAATGAATGAATGAATGAGTAAAATAAAAAGGTAACTCCCCCTCCGTAATTGCTGTGTCCATGAGCTCATACACATAAAGTCCCAGTTCACCAGCAGAGAAAGCAGCAGAATGTCAGCCAGCAATGATGGCAATTTTGTTGTAGTGAGATTCCAGCCTGGTCTGCCACGCTGTGACTCGACTGTAAGGCAAGCTAAGTCCCATTTGCGTACTAACATGGGTGAGTGTCAGTTGCTTGGGGACAGGATCGAAATCTTCTGCTGCTTTTGAATTCCTACTAACTAGTGCCGGCATGGCATGTGTTCCTGGAGTTGAGTCAACTCACCCTTTAATTCTGAAAATGTAGGATGGGGAAATGCCAGTGCTGGACTAGATTTCTCTTGTATTTAACTGCATCAATTTCTCAGACCAGTGTGTGTGTTCTGAGTCACGGCTCTCACCTGTGCACCTGAGTCACCTGGGACATTTTTTTTTTTCAAAAATAAGGTGGCACTGGATCCTCCATCCAGAAATTCTGATTACTTGATCTAGTGTGATGCTAGGGCATCAGGATTTTTCAGATATCTTTGGGTGTCTGTAATGTACAGCAACAAGTGGAGTAACAGGGCCCGGCATGATGGCCTAGCGGCTACAGTTCTCACCTTGAATGTGCCAGGATCCCATTTGGGCACTGGTTCTAATGCCGGCAGCCCCGCTTCCCATCTAGCTCTCTGCTTGTGGCCTGGGAAGGCAGTTGAAGACGGCCCAAGACTTTGGGAGCCTGCACCTGTGTGGGAGACCCAAAAGCAGCTCCAGGCTCCTGGCTTCAAATTGGGTCAGCTCTGGCCATTGTGGCCACTTGGGGAATCAATCAATGGACAGAAGATCTTCCTCTCTGTCTCTCCTCTCTGTATATCTGCCTTTCCAATAAAAATAAATAAACATTAAAAAAAAGAGGTGGAATAACATTAGGTAAATGAGTTCAACAAGACAGAGGGGGCGCATAAAAAACTAGCTTAAGGATTCCCAAACCTGTGTGTTCATCACTAATTCTCCACAGGTGAGTTGGCCCCCAGTTAGCACTCAGTAGGTAAAGATGCTGTGAGCCCCTCTGTGGCTTCTGTGTGCACAGGGAGAATGGCACTGTTCCCTGGAAAGAAGTGAGAGCTCCAGATGCTGGGAGACCTCTGGCCCCAGCCCTCTGTGGCTTGGCTACACATTTCTGGTGCTGGAGGACTTTATTATTTATGTAGGGCTTCATTTGTGCTGAGGTCCTGGTGTGTGCGATGTATCTCCCCTGGAGCCATATCATGTTGGCCTCTCTGGTTCAGCCACAGGCTCATCCACCAGGGTACAACCCTGTTTTCCAGGCCACAGATCATGAAGTTGTGGCTAACTCCATTGGGAGCTTTTACTCCCTGTAGGTAAAATCTTCACATGTTCTGAATTTAAAGAAGGGAAGGAATGATTTAGCAAAAAGGAGCCATTCCATTGGAGTCCAGCCTAGCAAAACTGATTGATGGAGAAGACCTTTACATTACTGGGTGGATTCTCTCCATCTTTGTTGATTCTGAAAGTCTAATATGTCTCAAATAAGACTGAGTCAGAGGGACTGGGTACTGTGAGGATGGTACGCCATCACAAGCCATGAACATTGTGCATGTTCCCTATGTAGATCCTGCATATAGCCCTCAAATGTGCATTATCTCATTTAATCTTTGTCACTCCATGCAATATCACATAAGCATTTTGAGCATTTTTAGACCAGAATCAGTCTAACAGTGTTGGAAGTCCTTTACTCAAGGACCAGCACTGAAAGTCCAATCTGGTCCATTTGACTACTTGGTTTTGTCAAATCTCTAATTCACTCACTGTATCTTCTTTGAGTCATGCAGTTAACTGTTATGTTTTGACCCCAATAGTTAGCATTTACTTGTTCTTAAATCTAAATTTAGAGCTTAAATGTCTTTGATATTGCTATATTAGTTACATAAAGTATCGATATGGCTTTATGTTAATGCTTCATATGAATTCTCTATACCCAACATCATTTGATTTCAAGAAACAATTATCTTGCAGATCTATCACTGGGACTTGCAACAATATATTTTCAACTTCCCGTTACTATTGCAGGTCCAGATTTTTTCAATATAATATAATAATACTGTTGCCAAATACACAAGACTTAAGTCTCTAAATTAAAGAGAGTAAAAAGGAATAGTTTTCTGCTGGCCTGAAAAATTCAACAAATTTATTTCAGGAAATATTTCCAGAACACAGAAAACTATAGAGTTGATACAGTAGACAGTAGTGAACTATCTCCAACTTTACTAAAGTTTTTCTTTGTGCTATACAAAAGGACCTCAAAAAGTTGATGGAAAGTGGAATTAAAAGCTAAAATGGAAAAAAACTGAAATCTGTGCACAGTTGTTTCACAATGTATATTTTTATATACTTTTTGAAGACCCTTCATGTTCACTTTACAACTTTTTTTGAATCAGAGGATTACAGATAATGTCGCAGCCATTTTTATGCCCTTTCCCAGAGGTTCTGTGATAAGTGACACACTGACGTGCTGGCAAAGTGATTTTTCAGAGTGTGATGAGGGAGGGCAGACGCAGAATTCATTTCCAAGATTTGCCCATTTCTGTGATGGAAACCTTGATCACAGCAGATTTCAAGGATCCGTAGCATTAAATTAAGCACTAATTCATTCAGATGTACACGAAACGGCCATCAGTGGGCTCAGTATGGCACCATAATGTTGAAGTTGCTAATACATGCTAATTGGTGGTCTTCATGGATTATAACTTAAAAGATTATATAGAAGATTACAACTATCCCTTGTCTTTTAAGATTAACATAATTTTTATTATAAAAGAAGTTGTATAATTTGAATATCCTCTGTATTTTTTACAGTAGGGTTTTTGGATGCATTTCATCTCAATTCTTAAATACATTTCATTTTTCTTCTAAAAGCCTCAAGTTTTTCCTCTTCATATTTGTCCTGAATCTTCATGGAGTTGAGGGATAAATGATACCTGATAGAGAACCCAAATTTCTGTTTTCATACAGCCATTCAGTGGCCACACCACGGGTTATAGACTGATTTATGTAGCTATATTGCTCACCTGTCAAGTTTGTCTGGATAAGTTGGCTGTTCCTGGGGGCTGGGGACTGTGTTCCCTTGCATTGTTCTGTTTTTCCAGGCTTTTGTCTATTTGTCCATCAAATGTTTTCTATTAAACCCGGCTTGTTTGTCAACACTGGTTAGTTTTATTTTTTTTATTCTGAATTGTGAAGTAATTTCTTCCTTAAAATTAATTGGTGAAGTTCCATGAAGCATTCTTTTGGGATTTTTAAATTAGAAATGCATTAAATTTCTAGACTAATTTTGTCAGAATTATTGCTTTATGCTGAGTCATCCCATGAGAACCATATTCAATTGAGTCTTTAAATGTCCTTTAATTGTGTTTGATAATTTCCACCTCACATTCATACTTGCCTCTTTTGGATAAATGTCCAAAATAAATTTCCTAGATATAGCATTGGATATCTTTTCGATCATAGTATTTTTCTAATCTTTAGTTAGATACTATTCTTATGTAGAGGAATACTTTAATTTTTATATGTTGATTCTATAACTGACTTTCTAAGCCTTCACCATTGATTCAAATAATAATGTATAAATTTTCTTGGATCGTTATGTCGGCAACAATGTTAATCTGAAAGTGGAACTTTTTTTCTTAATGAAAGTTCTCCAACCCCATATGCCTTGTCTTATTGTTCTATCAGTCAGGAATTTAATTTGAATCATAGTAGTACTAAAAGAAACTCTACCTGGTCATACAGTTTGACTTGTTTGCATTTTTAAAGAACCCTTTTTATACATTTCCACAAATGACAGTAATAAATGACTTCTTTTCTTCTACTGTCTTTTGTTTGGTATGTGACTAGATTTAAATTATTATTTCATAAATTCTTCTATCATGTTATGGAATGCAGTTGAGACTTGGTGTTTTGTTTTGCTTTTGGTTGCCAAGTCTTTTTTTCTTTCTCATAATCCCTAGGATAGCCTAGAAATTTAAGACTTTGGTTTGGTGTCAGAAATAAATCCACAAATGGTCAGGAAACTAAGCTGGTCCAAAAAAAAAAAAAGAAAAGAAAAGAAAGAAAAACTCTCTCCCCAATTTAACAAGTCGCCCAAATCATTAAGCTTCTATTCTTGTTAACCAAAGAAGAAATACCAACTTTAAAAAATACAGTATCCTTATTTTGAAATAAGGAATGGTTACTAAACTTCAATTTGAAGATTTAAGAATAAACAGTAAAGAAATGAAGAGCACTTCTCCATTTTTATTTCCTGTTTGTAAGTGGGGTTTTTTTTAGCAGATTAAAATCATGCAAGCTATCTCTTTTATTCTGAAGATTAAGGTGAAAATGCACTTTTCCCTTTAACCATCTCTTTTGTGCAGTCCCCGTATTTCAGAGCTAGGTTTCATGGTATGGAATGAATGACAACATTGCATAACTGAAGTTGGTAAGTTATGTAACCAGGAAAGAGAGGGACTGCTCTGAGAATTCTGATCAATGTGCAGTTAATTTTGTTTGAGGAAGTAAGTAAAACCTGAGGTGTGTGTGTGTGTGTGTTTTCAAATAAACTGAAAATCACCTAGCCCCTGCTTTTTTTCCTCTTGGTGTGTCATTTAGAAAGTGCATCATGTGACACACAGGACAACAATGTGGACACGTTTCTTTTTAGGGCATTCATGCCACCAAAATACCTCAATGACTGTGCAGTGGTAGACATGTTTCTTTTTTTTTTAAGATTTATTTTTATTATTTGTTTATTGGAAAGGCGGATATACAGAGAGGAGAGACAGAGAGGAAGATCCTCCGTCCGATGATTCACTCCCTAAGTGAGCCACAACGGCCCGATGCCATGCTGATCCAAAGCCAGGAGCCTCTTCTGGGTCTCCCATGTGGGTGCAGGTTCCCAAAGCTTTGGGCCGTCCTTGACTGCGTTCCCAGGCCACAGGCAGGGAGCTGGAAGGGAAGCGGGGCTGCCGGGATGAGAACCGGCGCCCACATGGGATCCCGGGCGTGCAAGGCAAGGACCTTAACCACTTGCACCACTGCGCCGGGCCCGGTAGACATGTTTCTACCTACAACCTTCATTCAAGCTGCATTTTTAATGCTGGTGCTAATACATTGGAGAAAGCCAATGGAACATTCTGTTCTCACAGGCACAGCAATCTGGAAGCTACAAGAGAAAATGCCAGCTAACCTAGCTAGATAATGGGAAAAGGAAGTGCTGCTTAGAGTCCACTGTGGACCGGAAGGGACAAAGCCCATTCCTTAGTCTCCTGTAACATAAAGCAGCGGGGCCCTCAAGGTCATTAATATAGTTCCTGCCTTCAAGTTCACATCACTGGTCAGGGAAAAATCCACGAGCAGCTTATTCTGTGAACAGGAACAGAGCTTCCTCCAATTGAGATCTGAGCTCCGTAGGAAAGCTGATAATTTTCTTTATCCCTGTCTTCCACAAAAATGAGGAAATGTTGAGAAAAATCACTCAGGGAAAAAAGAAAATATTTAAATCCTCAAGGCCAGATGATTCTGATTTAATTTTGGCTTTCAACACCAACCACTGTCTATGGTTACGCCTTCCACCTGTGTCCGTGTACATCAGCTACTCTGATGCATGGTAAAATTTTTGTCTCTGCCTCATTAGGAAGTAACTTGAGGAGGTCAGTCTTGCTCTGTTCCTTGTGCAGTGTCTTCAGGGGTTGATCTGTCCCATTATGGGCCCTAGATGGGCTTCCATCACAGGTGGCATATTTTTTATGAAGATTTGTGAATTTGCAAGCCATGGTGACAAAAAGAGAGACAGAAAGGAAGAGACCTTCCATCTGCTTGCTCACTTCCCTAAATGACTCCAGTGACCAGGGCTTGTTCAGGCAACAGTCAGAAGCTCAGAACTCCATCTGGATCTCCCAAATGGGTGGCAGGAGCCCAAGCACTTGGGCTATCTTCAGCTGCCTTCATGGCAGAAGACTGGATAAGAAGTAGAACAACCGGGACTCAAATTGGCACTGTATGGGATGCTGGCACTGAAAGTGCTGGCTTAACCTTTTGTACTACAAATGCTGGTCCTACTGGCATGTTCTGATGGTGTGTTGTCTTCCTGTATCCCCACTTCCTGTGTGGCATTCTTTGGGCCACAGTGGCTCCCTTCCTATAGCTCACCCAGAAACAGAGCAAACTCATTCTGTGCTAGACTAAACTCCCCTTTCCTTTTCCTTTTCTTCTTTCCTTTTTTCTTCTTCTTATTTTCCTTTATTCATCTCTCTCATTTTAAAGATTACTTGTTTTTATCAGAAAGGCAGATTTACAGAGAGAAGGAGGAGAATAGGAAGATCTTCCATTTTGCTCATTCACAATCCTAGTGGCTGCAGTGGCTGGAGCTGAGCTAATCTGAAGCCAGGAAATGGAAGGGCCTCCTCTGCGTCTCCCACATGAGCGCGGGATCCCAAGGCTTTAGGCTGTGCTCTATTGCTTTCCCAGGCCTCAAGCAGGGAGCTGGATGGGAAGTGGAGTAGCCAGGAAATGAACTAGTGCTCATATGGGATCCCCAATGCTTGCCGGGGGAGGATGAACCAAGTGAGCCATTGTGCTGACCCCTCACTCCCCCGTTTCTTATATGGCTTGCTTTCCAGGTCTTCTTCCCTCAGATACCACCTCCTCTGAGAGCCTTCCATGACGGCCCTGATTCTTTCCAGTCCTGCTTAGCCTCAGATGCTCTCCTTCACATTACACTGTATTCCCTCCCTGTCACTTATTACCACGTGACAGTGTAGTACAAGTTTTCTTGCTGATGTATTCACCTGTGGTTCATATTTAGGTGCATGTGACAGGGCCTCTGTCCCGCTTTCCACTTCCTTTCTCTTCCCAGGGTCTCTAACACTGCCTAACATGGGAGTCTTTCAGTAAGTTTTGTTCAAGGGCAAGAGAACAGCTACTAGGATAGTGTTACTAGGATGGCAGCCCCTCGGGAGAAAAAGCACTAGAAAAATCCGTGGCTCTTTCCTTGCAGTTCCCATTCTGTGGAGCCTATCATTTTATGGAGCATATTGTTTTTTTTTTAAACACCATGAAGAAAATCTGGCGAGGTAACAGTGCATGGTAACAGCACCATAGGAAAGACTCCACCATCCCGTAGATTCTGGGTCTTGAGTCTGTCAGGAAACAAAGCCTTCCTAAGACACGGACATGCAGGCCCAGGGTTCAAGAGCTGGGGTTGTTCGCCATTGGCTACTTGTATTTTGTGAGGAAGTAATTAAGGGTTGAACTGGAAGGCATCTGGAATTCTTGAGCAATAAATGCTGACCATCATTTCATAGGAAAGGTGCATCTGGACTTGGGTGGGTCTCTCAAAACACTTCCTCCTGCAATCAAATCCACTCTGGAAATGAAATTAAAATTTGACCTAACATAGGGAACTTACACCTGAGAATAAACATGAGGAAGTCTGCACACAGTTCTTCCTTGCTTGCAAGGTGGATTTTACAAGGCCCTCCTGAAGAGTCTCAGGGGTCATTGGACCACACTGGAGAACCATTGCTTGAAGTCAATTTCTACATTTTCAGGTTGGCTCAGAAGGAGTAAAAAGACTCATCCCTGAAGCCTATCATCACAGAGTTTCAGAATTATACAAACTTTATTAATTAAAAACAGACAAAACCAACCACATAGAACCCAGTGGGAGGATGAGAATGGTGTTGGATAGTTGGTAGCAGCACTAGCGCAGTAAGGTGACAGGTCCTGAACACGCAGAATGATTCCCGATGAAGAGTCCTATATCCATTGTGATTAGCTGCCAAATGCAAAGGGAGAATGTTTAAGCAGGAATAATCTCAGAAAACTTACCTCCTATTTTACCCATATCAGAAAACGACAGGTACTTTCATCTCCATACCTGGACAATGGGACCTAGAAAGCAAGGGAACCCAGCACAGCAGAGTGGCGAAGGCCATGGTTGGGACCAAGTTGGAGACTTGGAGAATTGCTTGTGTCAGATGAAGCAGAGGAGCTCCAGGGGAGGCTAACAAGAAAGAAATGCAATGAGAGAGAGTCTCATGTTTGGACACAGTGAGATGAGATTTATGCTTTTGGCACACAGTTTGAGAATTTAGTCGTGTAGATTTACATTTGAGAAAAGATCTTTTCTTCAAAGCACTGTCTCTGTTTAGAATTTGTATATGTCACTATGGTTTTTCATTGAATGCCTAGTTCTTCCAGTGGAATGCAAGCTGCACAAGCTCATGGCCTATAATTTGCTCACTGATGAATTGCTGGTGTCTGGCTTCGTCCTGGTACCTAAACAATTTGATGAGTGAATGTTTGTGAGCATTTATTAGTGAACTTCTCCAAGATTTGGAAAACTGAAAATGATGCCACTATGACTTCGCAAGGCAAGCCCTCTGTGTAAGCCTTAGATGCAATGCCAGTAGATCTTCAGCTATCCAATGATATGCTTTCTTGTAAATGTGATGGCAGTCCTGAAATTTGTAAGTTATATAAAATGTCCTCAACCAGTAACCTACAATCTAAAACTTCCTGCCTTTTTTTCTTAAATTAGTGAACTTCTGCAAGACTTGGAAAACTGTGAAAATGATCCTGTGGCTATAGCAGAATGTTTTGTGTCCAAGGTAAGCATAGTTCTCTTCCATGAGCCAACCAAGATGGATACAGAGCATGAACGGTTTTCATATTCACATTAAAATTAATCTCTCTGGGTTTTGTTTTTTTCAGTAACAAGCAAAAAACTGGACTGTTACTGGGGAGAGGGAGAGGCTATGACATTGTCCTAGAACTTGTGTAGTTGCTGAGGGACTCACAGTAAAATGTTGAAGGGTGGGAGAGGACAGTGGAGAAGAATATTAGAAAAATAAATATGTATAAAGTATATCACTAAATCAGTTATGCAAATTCATTTGAATCCAATATTTCATGTTTCATACTTGTGGCACAGTCTGTGTCTATATTTTTAAAAGAAATTTTGAAATCTGTATAGATGAGAGGGTCTTTAAAAGTTGGTGGGAAATATGGTTCATGAAAAAGCTTTTGGATTTCAAAAATTTCTTTTAATTTCATTTTTCACAAAGCTTTTGAAATCCTCATATATAATATCTTGTCACTCTTAAAGATACAGTAGTTCTTTGGAAAAAGGTCTCTGGCAGAAATTGTTTTGCAGCAAAGCTTCATACTTTACACAGCTAGGTGAAAGTTTGAAATGCACATAGGTTTTGGCAAAGTTCATGATGGTGCTTTTGGACCAACAGAAAATTAGCACCCCATGTAAAGCCCTCATGCCCTAGGAGAAATGAGAAAGGTCATCCAACCTGTCCTCGCCATAGACTCATTCCACACACACAGTCGTGGCTGACCACTGAAAACCCATCCGGCTGCCTTTGCACTTAATCATAGCAGCCTGGGTTTTATTGAAGTCCTTAGGGCTTGTACATAAAACTCTCCTTACTCGTGGGGAGGAACGTGCAGTGTGTGCAATATGTACATATGCTTACACAAGTACACAATACTTTTTGTAAGTTGCCTGAGCCCTAATCGATTCTGCTTCAAGGATAGAAGCTTGAAAAACAGAGAGAGAAGGTAGGAGAAATTGAAAGGAGTAAAGAGATGCTGAGTGTATCAAAGAAGATATGTTTAAAATAACCACAGTGCATAAACAACACAGCAGCTTTCGGAAATGTCTGGGCTTTTACTGGTAAGTGTAATCACAAGTTGATTAAAGATGTTCCAGCATACGCTCAGCACTGGCTTAATTATTCACATAAAAGTTTGTTTATAGGCCCTGTTGCCAACTCCCAAATCTCATTTTTCATTGTAATCTTGCCAAGTTTCATTAGAGGACTGACCTCAGCACTCCCCGGTTTCACATGCAAGCAGGAAAGTGGGAGGGAGTGCTGGGCCCTGGCTCAACCTGTGTCTCACTCAGCACCCTGAAATTTAGGAGATGGTGTGCTTTCTGAAGCGCTACCAGCTGCTGCCCTCTGGGGAAGGGTGGAAGATTGCTGTAATTGAGAGGCCATTAATGAAGGAGGTAAAGCTGGCGTATGACTCCTGCTTTTATCGGGATTGCTGGAGCTTCCACCAAGACTCCTCTTGGACCTGGCTTGCTCCTGGGGTATGCGGAAGTTAAGGGACTTCCTACCTCTGCTCGCAAGAAGGAGTTGACATTCTCTAGAGGGAGAGAGATGAAAGTTCCCTTCTGGCTGGGAACATCTTGATGAACTCTTTGCTGCCTGCCTACCTGCCTGCCTGCCTCCCCTTCCCTCCCACTTTGGCTGCATGCAGGACTGCCAGTGGAAAGCTCTCAGGAACCTGCAGGTGGAAGGGGAGGCAGAGCGAGACTCCAAGGCAGAACAAACCTTAAAATTAAGTGGATGTCTTCACTCTGCTTTCCCATGGGATGACTCTCAGAAGACTGGGTATTGTGGTGCCTCACCTGCTCACCCAGTCAGCGCTTGCTGTCATGTATTTTGACCCTTTCCTGATTGTTTCATCTCACAATTGACTCAATTGAAAGAGTTGAATTACTAGTAGAAAGGAGAAATCTATTTTTGTATATTTTGCACTTACTTGTACAATATATTCCCCTTAGTGCTGCTGAAAAGGATTTGGGATGGCATATATGTATGTATATATATGTGTATGTATATATTATATGTAATATTAGAAAGGGTTCGCTGACTAGGAGCTGTTGGGTTTTGAGCAAAACCGTTGTTTCTAAGATTCACAGAACTTTCAAAATCTAAGCTCAAACTTGTGTTCAATTCTCATTTAAAGAAGTGTGGCTGATTTAAAGTAAAACTTACCAGTTTAAGACAGCTGTAAATACCAAGAGTCCTGAGGGCCCCAAATGCTAGGAAATTCAAATGTGCAGAAATTGTGCAGCTGTGTGAGTGCTGTTGTGGATGTAGGTCAGTCACAGGATGCCCCAGTCCTTGTTTTTTAATGTGGAGTTTCAAATGCTCATGAGGACCTCCAAAAGCAAGGAAAATCAGCATGATGTTCAATTCCAAAATGAGTGGGACGGCAGGAGGAAAGGAGCTGCAAGAAACTCAGAGGAAAGTAGGCCAATCCAGAGCAAAGCTGCAGTCTGACATTCACTTACTGCAAGGCCTTGGACGGGTCACTTTGCCTTTCCCATTCCCGGAGCCAAGGCTGTTGCAGGCACCAGCAGATGAACTCAGTGCATGGAGGAGGCCCAGATTGAGGCTGTGGCAGCAGAGGTTCCTGTCTGCTTTCATGAGGATGGGGACTGTCACATGAGCTTGAGGTCCAGAGGCAGTGGGTGGCATGGCTTTTCAGAAGTCAGAAATCATAGCATCCGTACCCTCTAACTTGTAGTAGTTGGCAGCTAATGTAGCATCTTTGAAGTATTGTGCTCGATAATCTGGTACTAAGCCTGATGTACCACTGAGGCTAAGGGAACAGACACTTTCACAGCTATGGCAATACAAAGCGGCAAAGGCCCTATGGAGAGAAAGTGGCTGCCAGTAGGATCTGAAGTTACCCTTCCCCTAGCATTTCTACAGTCAGTAGCCTAGTGCAAAGACACAATGACTAATCCCATGAATATGGTGCAATTATTTGTAGTAGAATTTGCTATTGAAAAGACTAAGAACAGCCCACATGTCCGTCAGCAAGTAGCAGGTTGAATAAATGATGGTATAGCCACATAACGGAGTGCTATGAAGTAGTAAAAGAAAAAAGACAAAAAGCAAACAAGCAAACAAAAGCCTATAGCCTGCTGTACTGTAGGAGCCTGGAGAGTGGATAGCAGGAATGTATAGCACTATGGTTCTCACAGGTGTGGTCCCTGCTCTGCAGCATCAACCTTACCAGGGCATATTTTACAAACACAAATTCTCAGGTCCAACTCCAGACCTGCTGAATCAGAAACTTCGGCAATAGAATCCAGGAATATGTTATAGCAAGCCCTCTGTGTAATTGTGACATATACACTCAAGTTTGGAAATCACGAAGTTTGGAATAGCATGATTCATTTGTCTAGGAAAGAAGATACACCTATGATTAAAAATTGGTTACTGATAGGAGATAGAGCAGAATGCAAAAGAAGAAGGCAGACTTCTTTGGTGAGGATTTCTTTGTAGAGTTGAGCCTTTAAAAAAGAAGAGCTTTAAACAATAGCCTCCAAAAACCGAAAGTGAAATGAAAACTAAAATAAACCATGTCCCAAATTGTGACTTACCACAGTAGGGGAATTCCAACTGGCCTGCAAAACATGAGTATGCTATGGATGAGGTACAGCAAATACATACTTCACTGTGTTAGTAATGATACTATTTGTGGTGGTGTTGCTGTTGTTATTCTGAAATTATGGAGTGTGTCATAGAATAAAGCAAAGAAGTATTTATGCCAGTGTCACTGAGAAAGAAAATGCAGACATTAACAATGATCAGGACTGGTAAAAAATGCTGTCAGCCTGAATCAGAATTTATAAATATTAGTGTGAACTCAGGATGTATTTTAACCTTAAGAAAAAAAAATGCTATATTCCTAACTCTGACCCCTTGAGATAAGAGTCTGCCTCATAGCTGGAGTGTCTACTGCCCCGACTGGGGCCTCCAGATACAACTTCCCACCAAACGGGATCAGGGCTTTGAAAGAATGAGTATGGACAGGCAATGCACAGAATGGTCTGGAACATGTCCTGTCATAGCAGAAGTTGAGAAGATCCTGGAGGGGCCAGACCAGAACTGCTGCTACTGACCAAAGATGAGGTCCTTGGAGCAGCAGTGAGAGCAACTAACCAATTCTGCTGAAACACACTAAATGTGTTTATAATCGCAATATACAGGGATATTTAAAAAGCCAAACTGGTCAGCTTAGTAGGATGCAAGAAAACGGATGCATGATTTTGGAAATTTAGCGAAAAAGTGAAACATTTCCAATGCCCTTCGTGTACAGATCACAACTGAAAAGTCACCATTAGTTGATAGAAGGGAGTTGCTTTGGGGGAAAGCTCTTGACTAATAAAGGAGGAATAATAGAACTAGAGACATCACTAGTTTGCAACACCTAATGAATTAATGGTTGAGGTGATGAGCACCCATGTTTGTGAACATCATAAAAAGAAAGACAATCAGGGACCCAATGTGGCTAAAGCCCTTGCTTTTATGGGCAGGGATTCCATAGGGGCGCTGGTTTGTATCCCAGCTGCTCTGCTTCCCATTCAGCTCTCTGCTTGTGGCCTGGGAAAGCAGTGGAGGACAGCCCAAAGCCTTGCAACCATGTGGGAGATCCAGAAGAAGCTCTTGGCTCCTGACTTTGGATCAGCTCAGCTCTGGCTGTTGAGGCCACTTGCGGAGTGAACCAAGCAGATGGAAGATCTTTCTCTGCATGTCTCCTTCTCTCTGTAAATCTGGCTTTTCAAAATAAAAATAAATAAACTTTAAAAAGAAAGACAATCAGATGTGGCATACTTCTAGATGCAAGTGCAGTTCAGGCCATGGGATATTTGTACCAAACAGTGGAACCTAAATCCAGGCCCTTCTTGTCAACCACAAGTAGGATAGTGGATAGGACAGGTTAAAGGGAGCTACAGGTTTGGCATCAGCAAGGTGACTCTGCAGGAAAGAACAGTGTGGTTTCTTAAACAGCGAATGTGTAAAGAAACAAGTTAGACGGGAATTGAATGTTCACAGTGACTGATATCAGCCAACTGGTATGTAATGTATAAAGGAAATATGAACAGCCATGCTGATCCATTAGCGTATTATGGAATCATTTGGTTGTGGTAATGGCATTGTGGTGATTTTTTTTAAAAGCTCTTTATTTTGAAGAGACATGCTAGTGCAGCTGCAGGTGAAATGGTGAGATGTCTGGAATTTGATTCAAAGAGACATGAAAGAATGTGGGATGCAGGTAATGAGCCAATGGTGTCTTAAAAGATTTATTTTATCTTTATTTGAAAGGCAGAGATGTAGAGAGGAGGGACATGAAGAAAGATTTTCCATCTGCTGGTTCACTCCCCAAATAGCCAGAGCTGAGCCTATTGGAAGCCACAATCCAGGAGTTTCCTCTGGGTCTCCCACATGGTTGCAGGGGCCCAAGGATCTATCTAAGCGGCTTGCCTAGGCCAAGAAGCAATGAACTGGATCAGAAGTGAAGCAACTGAAATATGAATTGGCACGCATAAGGGCTGCTGGCTTTGCAGGCAGAAGGTTAACTCATTATGCCACAGTGCCAGCCCTGAGTTGATGCTTACTGAAGTTAGCTCATACTATGCCATCCCCTTTACTTATGTGTGCATGTAAGTTACATGTTTAATCTTATCCTAGTTGAATTTAACAGGAAAAAATAGTAGATAAAGATTCCTTTTGAATGAGAAAAAAAGTTAAAATATAAAGATTACCTTTAAAGTATGCACTCTTTTGGAGTCAGGAATGATTTCAAAAGAAAAAGGGAGTGAAGAGTTGGGAAGGGACAGAATGTGAAACCCTCAGAATAGTTGGTCACCCTTCCTCACGTTGTAATTCTATTTCAGATTTTACCAGAACTGCTGGTTCATTGGCCTCAACGCATTTATTAGCTGACAGTCTTCAATTCAAAAGCTTTCAAAGTTTTATGTAGCTTCTGCTACTTTACCCACCCATCTGCATACATCTTTCTCTTCACAATGCAGGAACAAATTGGAAAATCCTATGAAATCCACCAGAAAGATTTCTGGGGGTCTCCAACTGAAAACCAAGTGTTTTACAATTCATCTTTCTGGATTACATAGCTCATCAGCATCACTACATCATCATTAATTTTGAACTATTTTACAGCTCTGTCCATTTTTACTAAAATTTAAATGATTCTTTGTCTTTTAGGACTTGTTCATTTGAAAATCAGAGTTACAGAGAGAGGAAGACAGAGAGATTTTCCATCTGCTAGTTGATTCCCCAAACGACTAGGCCAGGCAGATGCCAGGAAATGAACTCCATCAAGATCTCCCACTTGATTGGCAGGGACCCACTTGGGAGCAATCTTCTGTTGTTTCCAGTTCTTTAGTAGGAAACTGGCTTGGGAGTGGAAGAGCTGAGACTCAAACCAACATTTATCTGGAATGTTGGCATTGCAAGTGGCAATTTAATGCCCTGTACCATGAAACGGGCCCCTGTGAATGATTCTTGATCACAGATACGTGAATGATTCTGTTATACAAAGGACAGTTGAGTTCTTTGCCTGCTCATCACATAGGAAAAGCCCATTTTCTTTCTATTGATAAACTCATGTCAGCAGTCCTCATTGATTTATGTGCTTCTCTTTTGATGCAGTTCTAATATCCTATTACTTTTCCCATTAATAGATTGCCTAAAATGTTTAACCATTCCCATATTTTGCACAGAATTCATTATTCTGCCTTTTACAAATTATCCTCCAATGAACAAGTATCAATTGACTACTTCCTAAAATCTGGTAATGTGGAAAGGCATCTACGTGACTGTGATACGTGTTGATGTCTGTGCTTTTCTCTTTCATTGCAGAGTGAAGAGTTCCACATTTACACCCAGTATTGCACTAACTACCCCAGGTATGTAGCAGAAAAGAAGAGAAGTACTTGTGTTAGCTTTCATATGATTGCAGATCAATTGGTCTGATATGTGTGGTTGTCCGGTGTCATATGCCTGTCTCTGGGAAGAATGCTAAGGGGAAAAACAAGCATTGCCGAGAACAGAGTATAAGAGACACCAGGTGCTGGCTTATTCCTTTGGCCTGCAGGGATCCCTGCAGAGACAGTACAGAGTGAAGTTGCCAAAAGAGACCAAGAAGACTACCAGCATCTCCAGTGAAAAACCAACGAGGCAGTTGCGTATGGCTGTGAGCCTGATCTCTCTCTTCCTGCTCTTGCACCATGTTTTTAAGATTGGGAAGCACCACTTCCCCTAGATGTCCTGGTTTTGCTCGTTGGGTTTTGTGCACCGTCTAAGTTTAACAGAGTTCACACAAAGGCAAGTTTTGTTAAGCCAAGATGAGAAGAGGAGCGCTCCATCTCCCCAGGCTGCTGGCTCCACCATGCGATGACAGAGGACGATGGTGGGGAGAGGTCCGAGCAACGTATTGATCACCTCAGTGTAGGACCTAAGGGCCTCAGACCATGAGTCACAACTCTAGGCAGTTCTTTGTCCAAAAGACATCCACTATCATGAACTGACTACTGAACACCACGTTAAATGCAACAGGTACAAAATGTTAAAAAGTGTGTTTGCAGCATCCTAGAGATGTTGAGAGATTAAACTAAAGTAGACCCCCCCACCATCCCAGAGCCTGGCCCATTTGTCAACAAGCCCAAGTTCGTCTTTGCCCCTTCCTCCTTCCCATTTTATAGATGGAGGAGCTGAGGCTCCCATAGGCAGCTTACTGATGTAAGGATCGCGAGCCAGTGAACAGCCAGGGGAGGATGGATTTAAACTGCAGTTTTTCAACCTCAAACCTCACGATGCTGCATCCACATTCTGAAGAACGAGCAGTTCTGATCCCAGTGACCAAGACAGAGACAGTAGAAGGAGGAGCTTTGGGGATTGTGTCTGTGCATGATCCCTTATAAACTGCAGTACCGTTGGAAGAAATGGCTTCTTAATATGAGCTCACAACATTGCAAATCTGGGTTTTGTGATTTACGAGGAAAGGAGAGCTCAAGCCCAAGGGTGCCGTCTTGTATGTCCAGCAGTTTCAGAGAGGAGACACCGCTGTTTGTGCAGGAGTGTTTTCAAGAGCCTGTCACTCATGAGGCACTGTTCCAAGCTGAGTGTAGGTCAGCAGGAAATGGGAGCCAAGGGCCTGGACCTTCAGGCAGTTTCTGTTCTTTTGGGGATTAGAACATGGGGCAGCCGTGAAATGTTACGGAGGCTCAGATACAGACGTGTGAGATGGGACACATCTGGTTACACGTGATGGAAGGAGAGGATGCCTGGGGGGAGGAGCAGAGGGTCTGGGAAGGCACATTCAGGGCCAGTTCCTGGGGCACGTTCTGCTTGGAGCCTGGCACTGAACATGCTCTGTGAACAGAGTGGTGCTCAGGAGGTGGGCCAAGGGACCAGGCACTCTTGTGTACAGCTCTCTTACATTTTTAGAGGAATATTTCCCCTTGAGTCCTCCTCTCCAGGCAGTTGGCTCTGGAAGTCCTGGAGTACCATGCGTTCCAGCCCATCTGACAGTTTCCCCCTTTGGATCCTGGCTGTGACACTGTCACCCTCACACCTGGACAAGTATCCACTTTCTTCACCCCCGCCACACCCAGTGATTCTGCTGTGAAGAGGTGCATGTTCCTCTGCCCAGCCCAGGATGCACAGGCACCCTCAGGTCCCTTCCTTAGGTGCCTGCCTGTGTGGAGACTTCTGGAAGCCTGGAGCACAGTGCACTCTTGAGCAGGTGCTCAGGCATGCAGATGGAGCATCAAGGCAGCAGGTTCTGACTGTGAGGAATGTTAAGGGAGTTCAGGTCGCAGGATGAGGGAGAGTCACTCCAGATGGATAGAAAGGGATTTGAACAGATACTTCTACAAGGAGATAAACATAAAAGGAATCCTTTTTCTTAAAATTTGTTTATTTACTTGAGAGAGTTACAGAGAGAGGGAGAGACAGAGAGATCTCCCATTCATTGGCCATTTCACTCCTCAAATGGCCAAAGCAGCCAGGACTGGTCCAGTCCAAAGCCAGGAGGCAGGAGCCAGGAGCTTCATCTGGGTTTCTGATGTGGTTTCAGGGGCTCAAGCATGTGGGCCATCTTCTGCTACTTTCCAAGGTGCATTTGAAGGAATCTGGATCAGAAATGGAGCAGCCAGGTCTTGAACACTGCCCATATGGGATGCAAGCCCCATCAGAGGGATTCTAAAGGACGTGGCACTATAGTCTAGTGGCTAAAGTCCTTGCCTTGCACACACCAGGATCCCGTTATGGGTGCTGGTTCATGTCCTGGCAGCCCCAATTCTGCTTCAGTTCCCTGCTTGAGGCCTGGGAAGGTAGTAGACGATGGCCCAAAGCCTTGGGACCCTGCTCCCAGGTGGGAGACCTGGAAGAAGCTCTTCACTCCTGGCTTCTGACTGGTTCAGCTCTAGCCATTGCAGCCACGTAGGGAGCGAACCAGTGGACAAAAGATCCTTCTGTCTCTCCTTCTCTCTGTAAATCTGACTTTCCAATTTAAGAAAAAAGGATTCTAAGGGCTTAATTATAAGACTTTAGTTCACTTTCTTCCATGGAGGTGTATTTTGTTGTTTAACTGTATGAGTTGTAAGATCTGAGTGCTGTCTGCTTAATTTCTGTGACATGTTTGGGGGCTGTTCACATAATCTCTTTGGGAGTCAGGCTGGAAGGAAAATGCTGGCCCCTTTGCTGATCCCTGCGGCAAGGCGCTTCCCAGAAGGACACTGTCCAGCTATCTCAGAAACTGAACTTCAGATGAGGAGAAGCACTCAGAGTGCAGAAAGGGGTCTGGTGATATGATTACAAAGCGTTAAGCCACCATCTGTGACATCATCCCATGGTGTGACTCCAGGTTTCTCCACTTCTGGTCTGACTGCCTGCCAATGGCCTGGAAAAGCAGCAAAAGATGGCTCAAGTGCTTGGGCCCCTGCTATGCACATGGGAGACCCAGATGAAACTCCTAGCCTCCACCTGGCCCAGTCCCAGTCTTTATAGCCAATTGGGGAGTGAATCAGTGGATGGAAGATTGTACATGTGTCTATCGCTATCTGTAGCTCTGATCTCCAAATAAACAAGTAAAAATTCCCCCACAGGGAAGTCGGGCAGGGAAGAGCTCTCACATTGTGCCTTATTTAAAGGTGACCATTGGAAGGGTGACAGATACCCTGGCAGGGAGCTGAACCTCCAGGCAAGAAGAAACTCCTTTTGCCATTCACTTATTACTCACTCACACATCCATTCATCTGCTCACCTTGTACAGAAATATAGAGACCTCTCATCTACTGATTTACTCCTCAGAAGTCTACAAGGGCTCAACTGGACAAGATGAATGCTGTGGGGAGCCACAACTCCATCCAGGTCTCCCAAATGTATGGCAGGTGGCCAGGTACTTGTGCCATCACTTGCTGCTTCTTAGGGTGCACATTAGCAAGAAACTGGACTTAGGAATGGAGCTGGACTGGAACTTGGACATTCTGATGTAGGATGTTGATCCCAAGTGTTGTGCAAATCCCTGCCTCAAACAACCAGCCAGGAATTCTTTTGTCTTAGAGTTCAGATGCCTACCCATAGAAATACAATACAGACATACAGGGTGAGCGCCACACAAAGACGCCCCAGCGGGATGGAACCAGGTCTAAAATCTCAATCTTTTTGGCAAGCTACAAGACCTGTGCTGCCAATCTGGGACTAAGGAGCTCCTTGCTTCAAAGCCCCCAAGTGTATGGCACTACCATGCCTGGTACAGCATCTTTCCTGACTCACTCATCCAAAGGGACTCCTTTTTCTAATTTGCCCAGAGGAATTCCAGCCAGGATATAGCTGTGTGGCTGCCCTAGTTCTCTGAGGGCAGCTACCCTGGCACTGCTGTTTAAAATTCAATTACTTGGCAGATGTTGGATGCATCAGTTAGGATACTGCTTGGGATCCCTGAGTCCCGTCCTAGAGTGCCTGGATTTTATCCAGCCCAGGATCCACTTCCAACTCCAGTTCTCTGTGGTGTGTCCTCTGGGCACAAGGTGATAGCTCGAGAAATTGGGTCCCTGCCACCCATTTGGATTCCAGGGCTCCCAGCCCGGCCCTCGCTGTTATGGACATTTGAGAAGTGAGGCAACAGATAGAGTGTATTTCTGTCTTTGTCTTCCCTTCCACCTCTCTCTCTATCTCTGCCCTTCAAACAAATGATAAAACTGTTTTTAAATTTTAAAAATGTCTTGAATACTCACATATATGCATTGCAACTTGGATAAGAATATTGGCTTTTCCTGCAGATCCATGGCGGTGCTGACTGAGTGCATGAGAAACAAGATTTTGGCTAAGTTCTTCCGGGAGCGTCAAGAAGCCCTGAGACACTCCCTGCCTCTGGGGTCCTATCTCCTGAAGCCAGTGCAACGGATTCTCAAGTATCACCTTCTTTTGCATGTGAGTGGCTGCCCGCTCCAGGGCACTGCCCGGGGAGACAGGGCCGGCTTGGGGGGAAATACCAGAAAAGAATATCAAACTGTGAAGTGTTTCCCACACTCCTACTTGGCAGGGGACTAATCCATGTGGAGGACTTGGAGATATTCATCCTACAGACCCACAGCTACATTGACAACAGCCAAATAACAAGATTAAGTTTAGCTTTGATTCTGATAGGAGCCAGGAGCACTACAAACTGGGTAATGATGGTTCTGGGCAGGGAGCTACCATCTTAATGAGCAACAGATGATTTTTAAAAATATTTTTTCAAATGAGCCTCAATTTAGCATGCATTTGGGGGGAAAGCTGTTTGACCTGTGCTGGCTGTTGGCTGAAGAGAGAGGGGACACATGCGCATCAGGGAATGACATCTGGGCAGAACTGAGTACCATGTCTGGGATGTGTTTTTATGCCATAACTCAGTGCTTTCATAAAATTTAAGGAGATCTTAGACATGAAGCCATCAAGGTCTTGTTTCTTTTTTTAAAGACTCGTTTTGTTTTTATTTGAAAGAGTTTTAGACAGGAGAGAGAGAGAGAGAGGTCTTCCAACCACTGGTTCACTCCCCAGATGGTGGCAATGGCCAGAGTTGAACTGATCTGAAGCTGGGAGCCAGAAGCTCCTTCCAAGTCTCCCATGTGGGTACAGGGGCATAAGGACTTGAGCCATCCTACACTGCTTTCCCAGCTCATAAGCAGGAAGCTGGATTGAAAGTAGAGCAGCTAGAATGTGAACCAGTGCCTATATAGGTTGCTGGTACCACAAGCAGAAGCTTAGATTTCTACGCCATGGTGCCAACCCCAAGATCTTGCTTCTTATCCACTAAGGAGGCTGATTTTAAAAATGGGTAAGTTGTCTCTATCAAAGATTATTTGATAGAAGATTCCTCCTATGGAAGTAAGAGTTGCCGAGCTTTGCGATGGGTGAAAGACAGTGTACTGCCATGGTCAGGAGTAACCCTCCCATGTCCAGTCCTGTAAACTGTCCATGTTTACTGCAGCTCAGTGGACCTCAATATAAATAGACAGTGATTTTGAATTAATTTTATGGGATTTTAATCCAGAGCTGTGTCAACATGCCCGTCATATGTGGGGACTTCACGTGTGTAAGCATTCCATGTTTCTAACCTGATTAACCCTCTATGTTTGTTCAGTTGACACACATGCACGAGACAAGAACTTTTTCAATTCAACTTTACTAGAATTTGCTTTGCTTTGGCTGCTTGCCTGGGTGACTCATGCTTGGAGAATGTTGCATTCTATGAAGCCACACGAGAGATATTCTTTAACTGAAAATTAAATGGAGCCTAATGACTTCTTGGGTTTGGTAGAATTCATTTGCTAGATTAGTATCCAAGTCCAAAGCATCCTTAAGTCAATTACAGCTGTCCTGGGACAAATGGTGACTGAACTCTGCTAATATGGCTTCTGAGACAGTGCGGTGTCCCACCATTATCTAACTGTGGTCTTCAAGAAAATAGGGCGGTCACCAGTCCAAAGTCTAAGATGTCGGGCTGTTGATCCTGGGAGGGAATAGGAAAAAGAGCTCTTACACTCTCTACTATGCGCTGGCAACAGAGACAAAGGGGAAGAAGAGTGGCTGGGCTCACCCAGAGCTAACTTCTGGTCACCTTTTAAGTGTCTTTGCTTTTCTGATTGACTTACACAGTTCCCTTCATGTTGTATGTATCATTTCAGACTTGGAAAACCACCATGAAAATCCCAACAAGATATCTTCTCTCTGTCTCAATCCATGAATTTTTAAAGAAGATTTATTTATTTTTATTTGAAAGTCAGATATACAGAGAGGAGGGGAGACAGAGAGGAAGATTTTCTGTCCCCTGATTCACTCCCCAAGTGGCTGCAATGGCAAGAACTGATCCAATCTGAAGCCAGGAACCAGAAGCCTCCTCTGGGTCTCCCACACAGGTGTAGGGTCCCAAGGTTTTGGACTGTCTTTGACTGCTTTCCCATGTGACAGGCAGGGAACTGGATGGGAAGCGGGGCTGCTGGGATTAGAACCAGCACCCATATGGGATCTGGGAATGTACAAGGCAAGAACTTTAGCCACTAGGCTACCATACTGGGCCCCTCAGTCCATGTATTGATAAGCAGAATTACCTCATAAACTTAAATAAGGAATTACTATTTTTAGAAACTTGCTCTTAATCTTGCACCTACCTGAAGCTTGTACTTTTTAGCGGTTTCTTGGGGGGGGGGGGCGGATTTTGTAAAGCCGAGTTTAAATATGGAAAGAAAAATGTGAGTTCTCGTCTGAGCACTCAGTACAGATTTACAAAGTGTTACTATAAGGTTATGCAATTGATCTTCCTAAATCGTCGCATTGCTTCAGCTGTCGCCTGAGCGAGCTGGTGAGGATGCCTACTGTCACGGCAATGATCTGATGACCGTTTTTGCATACTGCCTCAGACGCTTGCCTAGCTTTACTATTAGTCTTGTTTTTATGGAGAGAGAGTTCCAGTGTGGTAAGCAGGTATTCACCAGCACTCTGCTAGGACTTGGGGGAGAAGATAATGAGCCAAGAAGAAAGTGGCAGTCTCTCTCCATATTGTTGTGAAGAGCTGGGACAGAGATCATGTCGCCCTCTCTCCTCCCTGGCCTGTGGGACCGGAGTGCTGAGGTCACTGCTCACGTGGCTGACTTCTCACGCTCAGAGGACTGGGTACGCAGCCACGTGGTCTGACTCACACCGAAGGGCCATCTTGCTGAGCTTCATATGGAGGCTAAAACCTTGACAACATGAAAATGCACCTGCCATAAAGACTTAAAAAATATATGTATACTGTACTTCTTACTCTTACATATTATCTGTGAGACATTTTGAATTCTGTGGAAGACAAAATATGATGTTTTTTAAATAAGAATCAGAATTACAACAAATCTGAAATTATGGGATGGAGAGCTATATGAAACGACTTCGAAAATTTCATGGCAAATGGAATCAAAAGCTAAATTCATTTGAGTGCAAGGAAAATTTGAAATCTATGCGTAGTTTCTTCCTAGTGTAAATTATACATGAACCATTTGAAGACCCCTCGTGTTACCTTGAATACCAGGAAGATCTCAACTCTGAGCTATAAAAGCAGTTTCCAGGGAGCTGGAGTCGGGGCAGCTACATGCCGCGTGAGCATCTCAGGTGGACACTGATTGTTGTCCTGGCTGCAACCCGACTGCACTTGGGAAAGCAGCGGCTTATGACCCAAGTCCTTGGGCTCTGCAGCCACATGGGAGACCCGGATGTCATTCCAGGCTCTTGGCTTCAGCCTGGTCCTGCCCCGAGCCATTGCAGCCATGTGAGGAACAAAGCAGAAGATGGACAGTTCTTCTCTTTTGCTCACTCTAACTCTGCCTTTCAAATAAATAAATATTTTAAAAGACCAATTTTCATATTTGTTGTAGTAACTATAGCATTTCTGTGAGATTTACTAGCTTGTATACATGTCTGATCCTTTTAATCCTAGAATTTTAATGTGCTTTTTATTGTTCTTAGTCATATTTTTATTCCCACGTCACAATTTTACTGCAGGTGTTTCTGGCTAAATTACCTAAAAGTCTTAGAGAATGATGATAGCATATAATAAGAAAACTAAAACACAAGGGTCTAGTCACTGATACGCCATTGACTTGAGAAAAAAAGATGGGAGATGACCAGTTCATTTTGTGCTGTTTCTAGGAAATAGAAAATCACCTTGACAAGGACACGGAGGGCTACGATGTGGTGCTGGACGCCATAGACACGATGCAGCGCGTGGCCTGGCACATCAATGACATGAAGCGCAAACACGAGCACGCAGTCCGGTTACAGGTGCGCCCAGGACGCCATGCCCGGCAGCTCTACAGGGGCACCAACTTGTGGTTATTTTCTGATCAATTATCACGGCTGCTCAGGGTGGGCCAAAGTCTGGTCTGGCAGTGAAGTCACCCAATCCCGTACGGCAGTGCTTGTATTAGAGTCATGACTCAACTTTAGTTTCCAACTTCCTGCTAAATGTGCACCCTGGGAGGCACCACTCCCATGAGAGACCAGTCTCCAGATTCTGGCTTCAGCCTGGCCCAGTGCATGGCACCGTGGGCATTTGGAAAGTAAACTAGTAGGTGGAAACTCTGTTTCTCAAATAAATAAATGGTGTGGGCATTTGATCCACAGGTTGTCCTTCACGAGGCCCATCACCCATATTAAAATACTTGGTTCATCTCCTGAATTCTTCACTTCTGGTCTATTTTCCTTCTAATGCCAACTCTGAGAGGCAACGTGAAGCAGCAGATGGGAAATCCTCTCTCTCCTCTCTCTCTCTCTCCACGTCTTCTTTCTCTTCCTCTCTCCCTCCTTCTCTGCCTCCCTCTCTCTGTGTCTGCCTTTCAAATAAAATAAAAATCAGAAACACAAACTTAAAGAATAAATGAAAATCATGTGTGAAGATGGCTCCAGTGTCATATCAGTCACAGCCATCATCAGAGTTCCCCTGAGGAATCTCAGAGTGTCCGCCTTCGGTGTGGCCGCGTGAGACAACCTCAGGGTAACTTTTACCCTAATAATTTTCCTCATATCCCCTTCCATGACCCAAGGTAAAAATTTGTGTCTGCTATGGCTCGAATGAGTCATTGCAAATTAGTGGTTCTTGTTGAAAATGACTTTCTTTAAACAACTTGAAGGCCTTATAAACCCCTGTTGCTCTCACAAGCTCACGCACACCCCTGTGATGCTGTGTGGCTCTTCCCCGTGAAACTACGGCCAGCACCCTGGTGCATTGCTGAGGCCATGACTCTGAGAGCAACCATTCTGTTTCCTTGTGTATAACCACTCAAGTGAGAAGCTTGCTGAGGTCCCACGCAGCACCAACAGCGTAAACCCCAGATTCCTGGGAACTTTTAGTAGATGCTGGGCCATTCATCATGTACTGGGCACCTCAAAAGATGTGACATGGGCCAGAGGCTAGTCCTGGGCTTCTAGACATCCCTAGATCAGGACAGAAAAGCCTGGAGTGATTCCATGCTGTGTAGCGTGTCCTTGCCTAACTTACAAGAAAAAAACAGACTACTTGGCTTATGAGTCAGAACAAACTCTAGGCTTCACATCCAGGCAGCAGGAGTGTGGCGTGATGCCCCTATCAAAAATCAGGATCTCTCTCTCTTTCTCCCTGACTCCCTACTCTGTCTCTCTGTCTCTACCCCTCAAATTAAAAGCAAAAACCTCCACTGTGTATGTGTGTGTGCGTGCAGGTGAAGGCATAATTTTAAGAGAGAGTAGGAACTGGCATTTGGCCTGGCAACTCAGATGCCGGTTGAGGTGCCTGGGCCCCGCATCGGAGTGCATTGTCTGTCTAGCTCTGGCTCCTGCCTACAGATTCCTGCTCACACAGACCTAGCAGGCAGTAGTCATGATTCAGGTAATTGAGTTCTTGCCACCCATGTGGGAGACCTGACCTGAGTTCCCAGGGCCAGGTGTCTACCCTGCTTGGCATCATCGGCTGCTATAAAATTGGGGGGAATGAGCCAGCAATTGAAACTCCCCCTACCTTTATCGTTGCTTCTCAAAGTAAAAATATATATGGAGCATATGTATTTTGTACTTAGAGATGAGATGGCGTTCTGATCTTCCAGGCTGTGCCTCAGTTTTGCAGCCACAGAGTGTTGCAGACGCCACGTCGGATGTCTGTTGCTCACTTGGGAATGGCGGGGTCATGGTCGCTGTGCCCTGGGACTTTGCTCAGCACTCAGGTCAGACTCTGGCTCCGGTTCAACTCTGTTCGTCTTCACATCTGTTTTCTACCAATGCAGTGTTTGATTGGCGGATTCCTTAACTAAGAAGGGCTTGTAAATATTTTCGTTTTTCTTTTTTTTTTTTAAAGATTTATTTTTCTTATTTTTTCATTGGAAAGGCGGATATACAGAGAGGAGAGACAGAGAGGAAGATCTTCCGTCCAATGATTCACTCCCTAAGTGAGCGCAACGGGCCGATACTATGCCGATCTGAAGCCAGGAGCCTCTTCCGGGTCTCCCACGCGGGTGCAGGTTCCCAAAGCTTTGGGCCGTCCTCGACTGCTTTCCCGGGCCACAGGCAGGGAGCTGGAAGGGAAGCGGGGCTGCCGGGATGAGAACCGGCGCCCATATGGGATCCCGGGCGTGCAAGGCGAGGACCTTTAACCACTTGCGCCACCGCGCCGGGCCCAATATTTTCGTTTTTCAAAGAACATTACAGAATGAAGTTTCTTTAAACTGCTGATATTGATATACAAAGAATCCCAGGAAAGAAGGCAGGTTCTTATCTTCAAGGGTAGGGGCAGCCTGAGAAGTCCCCTTGTCCCAGCTTTGCACGGCTCACTGCCTGCTGGCCAGAACTGAAAAGGAACAGAAATAACGAGATTGGCAAGTCATCCCCTTGTAGCCTAACTCCGAAGGGGTCCCGCCCACCAAGGCAGGTTTGCGTGGTAGAGCCCTGGACGCCATCAGCCACCATGGGCTCCTCAGACTCTGTCCAAGGCCTTGGGCCACCGTGCTGACCTCGATGGCTCGCTGCCCTCCTCAGGAAATCCAGAGCCTGCTCACCAACTGGAAGGGGCCGGACCTGACGAGCTACGGGGAGCTGGTGCTGGAGGGCACCTTCCGCCTGCAGCGGGCCAAGAACGAGCGGACGCTCTTCCTCCTGGACAAGCTGCTGCTCATTACCAAGAAGAGGGACGACACGTTCACGTACAAGGCGCACATCCTGGTAAGCTGGCGCTTGCGCGTGAGGGGGCGCGGGGTGCGGGGCGCGGGCCAGGACCGGGAGCCGCCCCGCGCTGGCCAGCCTCGGCCTTTCCCAGCTCTGCTCTGTCTATGCAGTGCGGCAACCTCATGCTGGTCGAGGTGATCCCCAAGGAGCCGCTCAGCTTCAGCGTCTTCCACTACAAGAACCCCAAGCTGCAGCACACGGTCCAGGTCAGTGGCAGAGGGGGTCCCGGGCATCGGGACGGTCACCTGGGTATGATAGAGGCAGTGGCTGTCTGACTGTCCAAACTGACTCCTCCTCGTAGGCGAAATCCCAGCAGGACAAGCGCCTCTGGGTGCTGCACCTGAAGCGGCTGATCCTGGAGAACCACGCGGCCAAGATCCCAGCCAAGGTAAGCGCACAAGGTCACAGACAGCAGCTGGGCTGCCCCACGGGGAGCAGGCGAGAGGGAGGCCAGGGAGGGGTGAGGTGTGTCAGGGGCCGGAGGTGTTGGGACTGTCACTGTTTTTTCTCTTGGGGACTTGAAACAAAAAAATAAATAAATGATGGGGAGAGGAGGAACTTGAAGGAGAACAGTGATAGTGGATAGAGGCTTATTCAAAAGGGGACTGGGGCCCTCTTGTGAGTGAAAACGCACCCTTGGCCGTGAAGGGGGTTGCAGGTGTGGCCGTGGACTGTGATGGAACGGCAGAGATGTGAGCCAGGTGCTGTGGAAAGGGTTGTGTCCGGTTCAGTGTAATTATAGCAAGGAAGGAAAAAGCCATTGCCTCATTCTCGAATGATGAGGAATATTTTTATTGGGTGGGTGAAATGACTGTAGACATTGTGCCGCGAGTGTGGCATAAACAGAGATGAGAAGGAGTGAACAGGTGCGTGGGGTTCATGGCCCGCAGCTGGGGCCTGGGCAGTCCGGCTGCACTCTCGGGATGTGGGTCGGGGAGGAAGGCCTTAGGGTTTGGCGGGGGAGGCTGTGTGGAGGGCCCAGGTGCACACAGAGAGGGTTTGGTCTCGTGGACATTGAAAATCAACTGTGGTTTTGGAAGCCAAGGATGAGGGTGGTGTGACATGTAAGTCGTGGGAGAGAAGTTGTGGAGGCTGGACAAGAATTAATAAAACAACACAGTGTTCTAGAAGACAGAGAAGGACCCCACCCATAGAGGCCCAGTGCAAGAGGGAGAAGGTGCAGGACAGGTCACTGAGGCGAAGGGGACGGGGTGGTGTCCCCAGGGAGGCAGGGTGAGTCGAGACTCAGGGTATGGTGACGTGGGGGAGGAACAGGTTGGATGAGAGTGAGAGCAGGTGCGGCTGCTCCACTCATCCTCATGCTGGGCGGGGCAGCGACAGGTAGAAATTCAAGTTCTGGAAGCTGAGGGGCAGGAAGGCCCCCTCCCTAGAGATGGTCACTGAGGCCCGAGCATTGACAGGAGGACCCACAAAAATGTGCAAACGGAAGAGAGTGCTTGTGAAGCCCAGCCCCTGAGTGAAGTGCAGGGGCGAGGGCAGCATGGAGTAGAGCCAAGGTAAATCGTGGCCAAGTGGGTAGCAGGACAGCCAGCCAGAGAGGGGACCTGAGCTCGCCAAGGCGGGTGGAGGCTCAGCAATGGGGAGCAGAGAAGCCATCCAGCGTGCGCCGGGACTCCAGAAAGACAGCCAAGGAAAGGGATATGTTAGATGTGGCAGCCAAGAGATGGGGAGGCCAGTGAATGGGAGTTGAGAGACAAGAGGACAGGGGGAGGAGGCCGAGTGTAGCAAAGTTCAGAAGAGGGGAGAGGTGGTAGCCTAGGAAAAGGTGAATTCGGGGCAGAGTGTGTGCCCTAAGTAGGTAGCAGGCAGGAGAGGGGGAGCCAGAGATGGGCAGGGCAGGGCAGGGCAGGGATGCTTGCTGGAGAGACCTGGGCTGGTGGATGCAAATGGGATCCAAGCCCAGAGCCAGAGGAGATGGGAGAGGACAGTGGATGCTGGGGCGGACTTGAGGGAGGGGAAAGGGTTGGGCTCACTAATGCAGGTGGCAGCATCCTCTGTGACTGAGTGGGCAGAGCCAGGAGGGAAGCAGGCCTGTTGGGAACTGCTGCCAAAGACAGCAAGACCTAAGATGCCATGTACCATCTGTGGAAGGCACTGCAGACCCAGCTGCAGCAGGTTGAGGGGTTGGGAGGAGTGGTCATTTCACAGCTTGCTCAGCAACTTAGCCACTGCTGGACAGGACCTTGGCGCCCGTGGGCTCCTCGGGGCTGCAGGTGGCAGGGCAGGCTCAAGGCACAGGGAAGGAACTGATGGATCCTGATGGCTGGGCTGAGTGGGGCAGGAGGTGCCTGGCTCAGTGCATGGGTGGAAAGGAGCTGGAGCTGGAGCAGGAGAGATGGGAAGGCAGGGCTCTGTAATAGCAGAGGGGACACCTGGAGGCCTGCCCACCCGCCTGTGTGTGCGGTTGGCACCTGTAGAGTGCTCAGTCCTGGAGCCGGTTATGTATGCCATGTGGATGGTGAGGTGGACCCCGAATGGCCGAGAAGCAAGGCAAAGCAGGGGCGGGGGGTGGGGGGGAAGGGTTCTATAAGCATGAGAGCAGGAGGCCAAGGATTCCTGAGCAAGAACAGAGGCCCATGAGCCCTCCATCTGCTCTGGACACACATCTGAAGCTTGCCCTTGGGGCTGGCAGCCATGACCTTGTGCTCAGGAAATGAATGTACCCAGGTGTGGCCTCGGGACGTTGGGAGGCGCAGGGGAGCCTGAGCAAAACGGTGACTGCATCTTCTTTGTGGTGAGTCATTAGGGCCCTGCCCTAGGCCTGAGCTGTGGCCAGGTGTCCTGGACAGGCCCCGCCTAGTGTCGTCCTGGCTCCTGGGAAGTCACAGCTGCTCAAGAGGTTCTGGGAAGCAGCTGCCATTACGAAGGGACACCAGCTCACGTCGCTGTCCTCCCCTGCCACGATGTGTGAGCGTCCCCAGCACTGTCCCCCTTTGGTCCAGGATGCCCTTTGCAGCTACAGCACGCTGCGGGCATACGCACCGGGTCACGTGCTTGAGACTCTTATTCCACTCTCAGCAAACCAGCTCGTGAAGTTCATCTTCCCCTTCCGTTTTGGTTTAGAGGCCAGATAGATGGCCCATGTCCAAACGAGTACACGACCAAGCTACGTCTGGCTGGCTCCAGGGAGCATCCGGCCCTGCTCATCACAGACTGGCCAACGCTCCTTTACTCTACTCTCTCCACTCAGTATCTTTCCTCATGATACTCCTCTCTGTTATTTAAACAGGATTAAGTTGATCCTTTCACATATCTCCTCAAGCACTTTCTCAAATGATTTTCTTAAAGCTCTCAAAAGCATTCCTCTGGAATAGAAATACATGATGGGAAATTTTAAGCACCGAAAGTATCACGCATTGCATCCTTTCCACACAGCTGTTGGACATTTATTCAACCAAACTGGTTCCTCCTGACCATCGTCGTTCAACTCCTTGATGGTCCTTCACTGACACCTACTGGCCAATGTGGGAATCACACTTTTTAAAGTGTCCAAGCTTAAAATACCAAGTTCTTGATACAGCAAAAATACCAAGTCAGAGGTTGCAGATGTCGGGCTAGCCACGTTGACTGTTGGTATGTAGGCTATGAATGAACTGAGAGTAAAGGCAGAAGCATTTTTGCATTTGGTAATATTAGCATGGTTCTGGAGTTGCTCGTCTCACAAATGGAACTAACCTCTGTGTTTGAAATTAATCGCAGTCTCTGTGTAGTTGAAGATATTACCAGTGTAACTAAAACCTAGGCATTTCTTTTCTTGAAATTTAGGTATCTGTTTTGAGGCTTCCTTTTCCCCCATCGCTTTTTAAACTAAATATGATTGTTGCATAAAATGACAGTAAAAATTACTGTTAAAACGATTTTTAGAATGGTGTTTGTGGGTTAAGTTACACTGTCCTTGCAAAATGAAAGTAACAGTTAAGAGTCAAGAAGGACTCCACCAACCATTTTTCTTTTTCCTTCCTGGAATCCTTGGATAAATGAGCCCATGTGAGGGCCATTCGTTTATCCTGGTATGTCTTCTGAACCATAGTAACTTATAACAAGGATAAGAACAGCCAGCCCAAGGCAGCAGAACCTTGAAGGATGGAGTTTGGGTGGGGAAATGAAAAGGGGCTGGGGAGGAGAGGTCACGTGTGCTGGGTATAGGTGTGGGTGGGGCAGAGGGTAACTGCCAACCATTTGAACCTAGTAGGCAGATGTCGCTGTCCCATCCTGCAGCTGTGGAAACAAACCTGCATGAGTGACAGCCACTGCCTGATTAAGGGCAGAACTGGCAGGAAAAAAAAAAAAAAACAAAAAAAAAAACCAGATCCTGCCGAGCCCTGGGAAGACACCATAGCTCTTTGTCACTCCCTGGGAGATTTCAGGGTGCCCAGAATGAGGTCGCAGGAACTATGGGGAACAGGTGGCTGCTGTTAGGAGGGAGGCAGCAGCGAGAGGAGACGTGAGCTAGCCTTCTGACAGCAAGCCCTTCGTGGCTGAGAGCTCCATGTCCGCATGTTCAGCCGTCCTTGTGGGACAAAGCTGCACCTGTGCTGGTCCCCTGCAGACATTTCCCTGTGGTTGTTCCCCAAACAACAGAGAATGACAGCTGTCAGCTTGGCGTGTGTGCTGTGTCGACTGCCCTAGGTCCCCTGGAGCTGATTGAAAACCTCACTCAGATGGTTGTGGGAAGAGCAAATACTGCCCTGTTTCCTCTGAGGGACAGGAGATCCACAGGGGCTTCTAGTCCCCCTGCCAGCCTCGTGATGCAAGAGACACCCATGTGGGTGCCCAGGGATGTCACCATGGATTTGAGTCCTGGGAACTTGTTCTGTGGACCATGAAGTGTGAGCTGATGAGCAAGCCGATGAGGTGATTTGCACAGAGGAAGCGTGGAGAGACAGAAATGGCTGCACCAGCTGGACCAGCCAGGCGTCTCAGTAGAGGCTGCGTGCAGTGTGCCTTCAGACCGCTGGTGTTGCTGGAAGTCTTCGTCCCCCATTTCTGCTCCACTCCCCCCTCTGCTGGGAAGATCTCGGTGGGGGAAGTTTTGGATGTGGAAGGACAACACTGACCAACCACCTAGGTCCTTATCTGTTGGAGAAGCACGTGACTCCTTCAGCCCAGTGGCTATGACCTTGTTGAGCCAGCTGCCCTGCGCCCTCAGTTCAGTGAATTCCATGTGATGAGGGACAGGCAAGGACACCGTGGGCAAGCAGAGGCAAACAAGAGATCAGGTCTTGCTTCCGGCACGTTTCCTCATTTCGTTGCACATACGTGTGTTATCTGCTCATCTTCCCCAGCCCCTCTTACACACGTAGGCTGAGATCTGTCCAGTTGTCCTAACAATACGGGTCAGGAACTGGTATAGTGATGCCAGGCTCTGTGGCTTGAGATTTTGGCTCAGTAGACCAGGATTGGGCAGCAGTAGTTTGCATGCTTTTTAATAAGCTTCCCAGTGGGTACAGATGCTCACCAAGGCTTCAGAACCAACCTCCCTCCATCCTTTCCTTTCCTTTTGCAAGTAGACGTCATTTTAGCATCTGCTGTGTAGCCTCAGCTGTCCACGTGGGGGCGCTCATCTACCTCTCCTGCACTGTGTATTCCTGGGTTATTTAGCACTTTTTAATCCCATTTACTCAAGTGGAATAAGATGGTTCAGTCATTTAAAGAGTAAAATGAATTAACTGCCGTCGTGCCCACATTTTCTCTTTTTCAGGCCAAGCAAGCAATCTTGGAAATGGACGCCATCCGTAAGTACTGTTTCCTTAACATGATTTGGGAATTTGGTGCATTTTTGGGTCCATCACTTTCTCCATGTTAATGCTTATTTTATAAAAGTACCAACAGTAAGAAAATAGCAGCTTTAACAAGCAGCACGGCCCCTTTGATCACAGCTTCTACACTGGTTCTTCCTGGTGTGTCAGAGTCACTTGGTGACAGCCACATGTTTTGTGTGTTTGGATTTATTTGAAAGGTAAAGTAATGGAGTGGAAGGAAAAACAGAGTTAGAAGAAAGCTGTTCCATCCGCTGGTTCACGAACGCCTGCCTGGCCAGGTCAAAGCCAGGAGCCAGGAACTCCATCTGTGGGGGCCTTCCTGGGTGCATGAGCAGGGATCTGCGTTGGAAGCAGAGTGTGTACAACTAGAGGCAAGACTCTAATATGGGGTGCCAGCCTCACAGGCGGTGGCTTAACCCACTTCACCACAACACCAGTCTCCCATTCCCTCCCCTCCAGCTGACCTTCTGGTAACTGCAGGGGAGAAAGTCCCGGGTCAAATGCAAACAGGAGCACAGTCTCGGCCAAGGGCTGGGTTCCCCATTCAGGTCCAGCAGTCCTGAGGAACAGGCTGAGTCCCCAGCTGTCCCCTGGAGTCGTGTCTGTGTCCCACAGGAAGCATTGTTGTGTTTTGGCTTCTGAAGGGGAGGCAAGAGCATGAGTGGATGTGTGCCCCTTGAGAGGAAGGGTGGATGAAAGCGGAGAGGCAGAGAAGTCAGCTGCTCTCACAGCCCCTCCATCTTGCCAGAGCGCTGGCTTATCCCTGGCTCATCCCTGGCTCAGAGCTGGCGCTGGTGAGTCGTAAGATTCCACGAGTGTCCAGGATTGCTTCCACCTGCCGGTTGGTGCCACATGTGTTGCCAGGCCCAAGCAGGCCCGCTCAGGGCCGTGACCATCTTTGCCAGGAGCTGAATTCCGACTGGGTTGAGTGTGAGCAGGGGAGATCCAGGCCTGCGATCGAAGGACCCCAGTTCTGGTCTTACCTCCAGACCCTGGGTCCTGCGGTTATTCCCCCTCAAACTTTGGGACTTATGAAGTTGACTTCCAGACCTCAGAATGAAGCCACAGAGTTCCTTAACCTGCAATGTGTGCACCCCGCAGTACAGGTGTGAAGACACAAACTTGACCAAAGTCGGTGAAAATTCCTTTGCTTTTGATGGAAGCTGAAGCTATCATCCAACACTCGTAGAAGAAGCACTCGGAGTTGTGGGGCCAGCCCTGGGCTGCAGCAGGTTAGGCCACACTGCCGGTGATGCTGGCATTCCAGATGGGTGCCAGTTCAAGTCCCGGACACACAGCTCCTTATCCAGCCCCCTGTTGATGGCCTGCAGAAAGTTCCAATGCTGGACCCTTGTGGGAGACGAGATGGAGATTCTGGCGCTTGGCTTTGGCATGGCCCAGCCCTGGCCGTTGTGATCGTTTGAGGAGTGAGCCAGTGGATGGGAAATATCTTTCTCTGTTTGTCTGTCACTACTCTGTGTGTTATTCTATCTTTCAAATCTAGAAACTTCTGAAAGAATAATGGCACTAATACTGGAGGGCAATGTCCACATGGACTGACAGGGAATTAGTTAGGCAGCCAGGGGTTGTCACTTCCACCTGTTGATGGACAAAAGGGAGGACCTGGAGCCAACAGAAGGCAAAGGGGGAAGACAGCCAGGGGTGGGACACCAGGACAGTGGCGTGGTTCCATCACCAGCACCAGGAGGCCTGGTGCAAACCCTCATGGGCTAAGGTAAGGTGGGGGGGAACGTGTATCCACGTGTGAGCAGAGGGGATGAGCCGGGCATCCTTACCCATGCCTGCCCTTGTCTTACAGACCACCCTGGCTTCTGCTATAGCCCCAACGGAGAGACCCGGACATCCTGTGCTGCCAAGGACGGTGCTGCCCCCTATCGGCTGAGAAGGAAATCCGGTAAGTAGGATGCTGGCTTCCACACCCAGCCCTCCTGGACCCCTTCCAGTTGGACAGGCGTTGCTGGCCTGATTTCAAGCTCATAGTTTGCAGTCTGCTGGGTGTGCTGAAGCTCTCAGCTGCACTCTGTACGTCTCTTAACAGATAAACACATCAGTCGATTGCCCGGGCTGTGTTCAGCAGCCCTTCACTGGTGTGCAGACATGTCACGCTGCCAGGGTCACACACAAGGCGTTTTTTGAGCCTCACGTTTCATTGCACTCCACAAAGTCTTCTCCTATTCCTTGGGTTTAGGATCTGTTTAAGTCAGAATTTACTGAGCATTTATTTTATACCTAAAGACTACGAGCATTAGGGTAAATAATGCAGGTGACTGTAGCTGCAAAGCGCTTGGGATGGGAGAAGCCCCGCCCCCCAAAAAAACCCGCAAACGAAAATGAAAATCAATACCAGTCTGCTTGATTGGAGCGGGCAGAGGCTGGGTGGAAGTAAACAAGTGGAAACAAAGATGGAAGGAAGAGTGGAGAGACTGGGCAATCTAGTTCCCTAGGGACAAGCAAGGATGTGCCCCAGGATGGAGTACCGTTGAAGGACTGGGCAGTGAGGAGACAGAAGGGGTACAGAAAGGGGACATGCAAAGGTCCTGGGGCTTGAGCCAGCAGATCATGGGACTGACAGCTGTGCCAGTCATTCAGCTTGGCTGGAACATGGGGTAAAGGAGTGGACAGGGTACCTACAGGGGCACATGTAGGGTTTGAGCTAGACTCTGCAGGCTAGGGAGGGATTCGAAGCAATGAGCTCTGAGAATATGTCATGGCCAGGGCCTGGCTCCACATGGAGAGTGAAGCGAGCGGTGGGAAGCTGCCCTGATGGGTCCTAAGGCTGCGGCGACTGAGTAAAGCATTGCAGAATCTGCCCAGACCTACAGTGTGGAAACCAGGAGCGATTTGGAAGGATGTCCTCATTGCTCCTCGGGGAGGGCAGTGTTCCTGCTAACCACGACAGGGAAGACAAAGAAGGAGTGGCTGCTGCAGGCAAATGATGGGCTGATGCTGACACTGGCTGGGTGAGCTTGGCACAGGTGTCTTGATGTGAAATGTAGACCTCAGCCTCATCCTCCATGGTGGTGGCATGGCTGAGGAAGTTGCCTAAGCGGTGGATTTGGTGAAGTAGGGGGTTTGTCTTTCTGGGATACGACTCCTGAATTAGCAGCTCCGCGTGGATCCTGCCGTTTGGATTCATTGCTTCCGAGTGCTCCAAGCAGTAGGGATTTGGTAGAAAAGTCCTGGAGCTTAGTGCATCTGTCAGCGAACTAATGTGTCATTGTAGAGAAAAGAATTTTGACTTCGTTTAGCAAACGATGCTTTATTTTTTTCTCCCAGAACCGTCTTCAAGATCACATAAAGTTTTGAAAACCAGTGGTAAGTCCTGAAATATGTGTTCTTTTACTCCTGTTGTTGTCCACTTAAGCAAACGATGTACAAAAGTAAATGCCACACTGACAAGCTTCATGATTGTAATATATAAAGATTAACTTCTCTAAGTGAAAGTATCCCACAGTGTACAATCTAATGATATAAATATTTACAAACTCTGTCACAGGCTTAGAGACTGACATCCTAATATATTAAGAAGTCTTGGCATCAAATAAAGGTCTCGTTCTAAAAACAGGAGAGCTGCATGCAGAAACAGATTTCCGATAGGATTTTTTACACAATCTCTGATTTGATTAATCAGAGAAACTATACGTTTAAATGAAATAAATGGCAAGAGAAAAGCTGCGAGCCTGGCCAGGAAAAAGCCTCACTGGAGCGCTGCTGGCAATGTGCACTTTTGCGCTGCTGCAGGGTCCAAACTCGGTAACGCCCACTTGAATTTGAAATGTGTTTGCCTTTGGCCCAGTTCTTCCACCTGCACGGACGTCTCCATCCACACATGCGTAGATCCAAGTGGGCGTTGTTCTTCACAGCGTTTCTAACAGGACACTGTGTGAAATGCTGAGCCCCTGTATATCTGTGCGCACCGTGGAACAGTTGATACTTAAAACAATGAAACACCTAACTCTTTATTAAGGGTATCTTCATATTCTACAGGAAATATTACATTCATACTTTATTTCATTTATAAGATGCATTACGTTTTTTATTTATGCGAAATGCAGAGAGACAGAGAAGAGACTTTCCATCCATTGGTTCAGTCCCCCCAGATGGACACACAGCCAGGGCTGGGTCAGGCCGAAGGCAGGAGCTGGGTGCTTCTTCCACATCTCCCACATAGGTGCAGGTGCCAGAGATCTGTGCTATCTTCTGCTTTTTCCAGGCACATTGACAGGAAGCTAGATTGGAAGTGGAGCAGATGGGACTTAAACCAGTGCCCATCTGTGATGCGGTACTAGAGGCAGAGCTTAACTTACTATGCCACAATGCTTCCCCATACATCTTTATTTTAAAACCAAAAACATAATTGTGTTGGGGTAGAGCTAGTTTAGGATTTGGAAAGATGGGTACCCCTGGGAGCAGGATTTGTGGGGGAAGGAATGACCTCATATTCTGCTGAAATGAAGCAGTGGAGCAGCTGTGTGGAAGGATGAGCTTATGAAATTCTCTCCACCACCACTTCATTTACAACAATCCTTTGCGCATGGCAGATGTGACTGACTGATCGATACAGGTGCCGTCGCTCAGTAGCTAAAAGTCAAGAGCAGCACAGTCAGATCTTTGCAGAGTCTTCATTGTGTGGGACACATGCATTGTTTCAGGGAACATGTCATTTCTCTTGTGAGTTTTTGAAACATAATTGCGCTAGGTTTCGTTCTAGGCATTAAGGAGAGCATCTGAACCTCGGACGTATAGAGAAACATACTAGGGGACTTCCAAAAGTTCATGGACAGTTGGAGTCGAAGGGCAGAGCTATTCTCACACAAAAAAATGTTGGAATCCCTGCGTCGTTGTTTCATGTTGTGCATGATCCCGCGAGCTTTCTGAGGATGCCTGTATCATGTAGGAAAGCAAAGCGTAGAAACAGAAGATTCTGTGCTCAGCTGATTAGTATTTAGTATTCAGTCATTGTAAATTCTCAAAAAAAAAGTGCTTACCTGTAGATGAGATACAGTTTTAATTCTCAATCTGAAAGACAATCTTTTCTTTTTCAGAAACAGCACAAGATATGCACAAGGTAAGTCCCGTCACATCTCCTACTCAGCTTGACTCGCCGTTGGTAAGCACCCTAACCTGGCTCACCCCTGAGCTGACTACCAAGCAGAAGGAGTTACCCTACATTTAGAAAATGTTATGTTTAGGAAAAGTGCCTGCCCTCTGAGTTATTTACATTTCCCTTGAGTGAGGGCTTACGCTTTCCTGTTCCCCCACCCTCCCGTTCATGTTTTGGCTTAGTCAAGGGCACCTTAGGAGCTGGGGCCTTAGTTGAGGATGCGTAATGCCTGCACACTACAAGTGATCTAGAGATCTAACTTGCACTGGGCCTCCACTCCTGCAAGAGCAAGGTCTTTGCCTCCTGAGCACAGCTCCCTTCTTGAAGTATTGGCCTTCAAGGGCAAGGATCAGAGCTGCCACCTCAGAGTCCAGCCCTACTGCTGGTGGACAAGGTGTGATGAGATGGGAGGAAATGACACCTTGCTATGTCAAGTTTTTGGTACTGTGAAGAAGTTAAGAGAGGAAATAAAAATGGTATGCCCCTTGAGAAGGTATATACCCAAGTTTATTTCCTAAGAATAGTAGGCTTTGCATCTTATTTGGTGGCTTGTCCACTGTGGCTGCTGATCATTCAGCCTGTTCAGCATGTCTTAGAAAACTAACTATGGCTTCCTGTTTATTCTGTGTAAATAAGGATATAGCTATGCAAAATCTCTTGCCACAACTCAGTTACATCCTAGCTAAGCAGTGGATCAGTGCAACCCTGTTGATGGAGGCTCCAAGTGTTTAGGATGAAATTTTTTCCCTGTTGTCTTCTTCTCTCTTCCCTCTCTAATAGGCAGACACTTAATTCTAAGACAGTAAATGTGCCTGCTTCTTTGGGAAGTGATGGAAAGTTCTTGCTAATTTGACATTTCCGATAAATTAATATTGTATTTGATCAGAAAATTCATCCATGGCACTAGTTTGAACAAAGTCTTAACCATTTCAACTATTTTGAAGCTAATTACCTGATGGATGGTATCAGAGGGTGATCCACCCCTGTTGGCCCAAGAGAAGGCCAGCTTGTTTTATTTGATGAGATATCAATATTGCCTCTGATTTTACTTTCTAATATGCAACTAAATATTACTTAGTTAAGTCTCATTTGAACGAAAGTGAAGGTATCATCAGGTCAACAGTGGTTTAAATGATATCCCCACAACCACAACTCCTTGTCTAGAATCTACTAACCAGGCTCATGGTGCTCAAGTTCATGACAAATCTGAAGATCTAAGCAAAGCCCTTACAGTGTATTGTCAGTCACCAGCAAGGACTTCTGGTATACCAGAAACCATGCTAGCAGTCAAGCACTAGATCTAAAGCTTTGTAGGAGAAAGCCACTGATAGAAACCAGATGTGGCTCTTGACAGCCATGGACACTCATTTGCAAGTGCACACCTGGCTTATTTGAAGCATCTAAGAGTTTTCTGTAGTTAATGTTCTGCCTGAAGGCCAGGGTTATAGCATTAGCCCAGGATTTGAGTCCTGAACCCTGTATCTTGTCCATGGTGTGGTGACTCAAGTCTCCCTCTGTCTTCAGGTGTCCCAGGAGGAAGGCTCTCCCCGCCTCAGGTCAGCAGGGCCATCACCTGCCCAGAGGAACAGTCAGCCCAGCAGTTCCGCCATTCTCAGCGTGCTGCACGGGGGTGGTGCCATGAGAAACATCTGGACCGACCACCAGATTCGGCAAGCCCTGTTTCCCAGCCGGCGTTCCCCGCAGGAGAATGAAGAGGATGACGATTACCAGATGTTCCTGCCATCCTTCTCCTCCTCCTCGGATCTGAACTCGACGAGGCTGTGTGAAGAGAGCACGTCGAGTCGCCCTTGCAGCTGGCACATGGGACAGATTGAGTCCACAGAGACCTCCACTGCCGGCCACAGGGTTGTGCGGAGGGCCAGCAGTGCAGGGGAGAGCAACACCTGCTCCCCCGAGATGAGATCTAGGGACAGCGACGGCTGTCAGTACGGCTCGAGAAGGGAACTGCGGAATGGCCCCAATACAGAAGGGCAGGAAGGGGTGATACCCTTTGGGTTATCAATGGAGTTGACCGTGGATGATATAGACCACGTCTATGACAACATAAGTTATGAAGACTTAAAGCTCATGGTTGCTAAACGGGAAGAGGCTATAGACACACCCCCTAAGCCTGGTAGGGACTCCATTCGCCCCAAAAGCACCCCAGAGTTAGCCTTCTCCAAGAGGCAAGCTGGCCACAGTAAGAGCTCTTTGATCACAAAAGCAGAGGGGACACTCCCGGATAGAGAGGCACTGAACCAAAGCACACATGACCTGCAGGTGGTAGACGAAAACATCTATGACACCATAGGGCTGCCAGAGCCCGCGACCCTCGACTTCAAGTGCAGCAGCCTCAAGCGCCCCAAAAGGAGCACGTTTCTGGGGCTGGAGGCTGACTTCGCATGCTGTGAGAGCCTCAGGCCATTCGTGTCTCAAGACAGCCTGCAGCTGAGTGAGGATGACGCACCCTGCCCACAGGGCCCCGCAGAGAGCGACTACCTGAATTTGCTCTATGACGTATCCAGCTGTAATTCGTCCACAGCAGACAAGGCAGTGTCTGATAAGCTGTCCGAAGAAGTCGACGAAATCTGGAATGACCTAGAAAACTACATCAAGAAAAATGAAGACAAAGCCAGAGACAGGCTTCTGGCAGCATTTCCTGTGAATACAGAGGACGTGCAGGATCGGCTGCACATTCAGAGCACCCCGGAGCCCAGCCGCCACACCATGCGCTCCACATCCATGCTGTCACTTCCCGACAGCCAGCACAGGGCACCCCGGGCCAGTCGAACCCACTACCTGTTTGAAGAGGACATCGTTTCTAAAGAAGACTCCTTTCTGAGTCTGAACCGACTGTCTCTGGCTGGTGACACACCTCCTGTGGACAACCCCTATGACTTGGCCATCGGCAGTCTGTCCCAAACAGACCCTGAAAACCTAGAGCCTGGCCTGGATGCCCCAGATAAGACTAAAAGCAGGGTTTTTATGATGGCGAGGCAATACAGTCAGAAGATCAAGAAGGCAAATCAGCTTTTAAGAGTGAGGAGCCCAGAGCTGGAGCAGCCACTAGCCAGTCAGCATCTGAAATCCACTCCCAGGGACCTGGCTGCCATCTTGGAGGAGAAAAAGCAAGGCGGAGCTGCCATTGGTATGTTCACTTCGATTTCCTTCTTTTTGACAGTGAGATGGGACCATAGGTTTCTGATTCTCTGTAGCCTTGGGGCAGCTACACCTGCGAGAACACTGACCCTCCAAGCAGGGCCCCCCAAGAGCAAGACGGGGCTGACTTTCCCACCACTTTATGGCCACGGCAGGGTGCAAGACATACAGTGTGATTTTGGTCTTGGGGGGTTTTGCTGTGTGTGTGATGTTGTCACTGCAGGACTGGTACTTTGAGAAATACTCTCTCTGTGGCAGCCTACCTGATGACAGGAAGCAGTTGGCTCTCATCCATGATGTCTGGCTGCTGGCCTCACGCATCAGTGTTTTGTTAGAGCAAAGAAGAACACTTCCAAGGGGCTAAGGTTCGGGAGCAGGTGGGATAGCACTGCCTTCTGCTTTCAACCCCCAACAAAAAAATGTTGACTTCTGCTAACAAAGACCAGGAAAAAAGCATTTATTGACCTTTATTGTAGATGGTCCCACCATCCACATTGCAGGTGCTTGCTCACATATTTCGGTCACTATCAGAAATTAGAAGTTTCTTTTTTTTAAAAGATTTATTTTATTTTTATTGGAAAGGCGAATATACAGAGAGGAGAGACAGAGAGGAAGATCTTCCGTCCGCTGATTCACTCCCCAGGTGGTCGCAACAGTTGGAGCTGAGCTGATCCAAAGCCAGGAGCCTCATCCGGGTCTCCCACGCGGGTGCAGGGTTCCAAAGCTTTGGGCCGTCCTCGACTGCTTTCCCGGACCACAGGCAGGGAGCTGGAAGGGAAGTGGAGCTGCTGGGATTAGAACCGGCGCCCATATGGGATCCCAGGCGTGCAAGGCAAGGACCTTAACCACTGCACCATCACACCTGGCCCCAGAAATTAGAAGTTGTAATGCATTTATCACCATTGCATTCTGAATTATCATCTCTGAATCCAAGAACTTTCATTCTGGGCTTAAAGATCTATTTATTTGAAAGTAGAGTTAGAGAGAGAGAGAAAAACACAGAAAACTCTTTCATCTGTTGATTCACCCACCCACCCAACCAAATAGCTAAAATGGTCAAGGCTGGACCAGGCCCAAGCCAGAAGCCTGGAACTTCTTCCGAGCCTCTAAGTACCATCTTCTGCAGCTCTCCCAGGTGCATTGGTAGGGGGTTGGATCAAACCCTGGACTCATATGGAATGCTGAGATGGCGCATCACAGCACCATCCCCTAAAGCTTCATTCTTTCAAAGGCTTCACCTCTTTTGTGGGGCGTAATGGTACCAGAGTCTTAGATATGATACAGGTAAGATCAGAGTTAAAATAATGAGGTAGTCATCACTGACTTTTTTTTTTTAATATTATTTATTTTGAGGGTCCGGTACAATGGCCCAATGGATAAATCCTCCCCTTGCAAGCATCAGCATCCCATATGGATGTCAGTTCATATCCCGGCTGTCCCACTTCACATTCAGCTCCCTGCTTGTGATATGGGAAAGCAGTGGAGAATGGCTCAAAGCCTTGGGACCCTGCACCCACGTAGCAGACCCAGGAAAGAACCTGACTCCTGGATCCTGGCTTAGGATCAGCTCAGCTCTGGCTACTGTGGCCGTTTGGGGAAGAAACCAGTGGATTCAAATCTTTCTCTCTGTCCATAAATCTGATCTGCCTTCCCAACAAAAATAAAATAAATCTTTTTTTGTTTAAAAAAAGAGATTATTTTGAAAGAGTTATAGAGAGGGAGAGAGAGACAGAGCTTGGATCTACTGGTTCACTCCCCAAATGATCATAATGGCCAGTTCTGAGGACAAAGTCTGGAGCTGGAAGTTTCATCCAGGTCTCCCAAGTGGGTTCAGGGTTCAAAACACTTGGGTCGTCCTTCACTACTTTTCCCAGATGATTAGCAGGAAGCTGTATTGGGAGTAATGCATCTGGGACTCGAACTGGTGCCCAAGTGGGATGTCAGTGTCTGAGGCAGTGGCTGCATCCTCTGTGCCACAATGTCAGCGTCACGGTTGACATGTTGAAGGACAGAATGCTGATCTCAAGGGACACTCTGAGGTGTGAATAAAACACCATGAAAAGAAAAACCCAGGAATAGTGACCATCACTGCAGACCCAGAGAGATGTCTGGGGCCAAGGAATCAGCATTTTAACTGCATGTGGCCTTTCCGTGATGTTTTAAGAAACCATGCCCTCAATTTTCTGGCAAAGGACCCCTTTAGCATCAAGTGAGAGAATCAGTTCTACTCCAGAGGGACGGGTTCAGTTCAGCAGCTTCAGGACACATCCCTGGCACATCACAAAAATGCAGCCTCTAGCCTCTGTTCATTAGAAATGACTTCTTCATCCCCATGGAAATCAGGGATGACCAGCGACTAAGCAGGAATTGTGGAATGAATTCACAATTTCCGTGACAAGAATTTAGAAGAATATAAGAATCATCTAAAACTTCAATTTTCAATGGAATTTCCCAGATAGGGACATGAAATCCTGGAATTGATGTGTGAGGGATTTTATAGATGCTGGCTTTTCATGACACAAAAAATTTAAAGTGTTTTTTATGTGAATGTGAGACAAGATATATTGCATATCTTTTTCTCCTTGCAATAATGTGCCAAAAGCAATTCATGTCCCAGTGCCAGTGTTGCTAAGCTGGTGTGTGGTTACACTTAGAATAACTGACTCTGGCTTCAGAGGACTGTTTGGGACAAGGAACAGGCAGAAGATGCGTAAGTGACTTTAGAAACAATAGTTGTCCATTGTAACTATTAGATAAAATACAATACTGAGATCACTGGTGATAATGGGTGTTACAGCAGATGATCATGGAAAATGCAGCTGTTGCCTGGCCAAAGTTGTTTAAAATATGGACCATCCCTCAAAATGCAAAACTCTAATCTTGGAAGCACGCCCCCTTCAATACCAGATCTGTAAGGTGACAGGTACATTGAACCGTCTTCTTTTTACCTACCTTTTAAACATTCATTGATTTCGTTAAAAATAGATTTATTAAGAGAGAGAGGGAGAGATTGAGAGAAAGGCCTTCAATCTGCTGGTTACTCCCTAGATACACACAATGGCAGGTGCTGAAACAAGCCAAAGCCAGGAGCTTCATCAAGATCTCCCACATGGATGGCAGGGGCTTAGGCCATCTTCTGTTGCTTTCCTCCGACCATTAGCAGGGAGCTGAAACAGAAGAGGAGCAGCTGGGATATGAGCAGGTGCCCTTAAGGGAAGCTAGCATCATGGTCTGTGGCTTTACCCACTAGGTCACCAGGCTAGCCCCAAGCATTCATTGATTGCACAAGGATTTTTTTGGGCTTCATCTCACATTTGATCGATCTGTTCTCTTTTCTGTTTTGCCTGCTGATGTCATCCTGGGATCCCATGAGATCTTTTTCCAACTTGGCATCTGGGTCCTTTCTTGACATGCTGGGCTACTCCCGACCTTCTGTTCAGCAAAGAGTCATCTTCTGAGGGTGGTGTCCTCCCTGGCCACTTGGCAGGAGCATGTCCCTAGGGCCTGCCAGAGCTGACCAAGCATGCCAACCCTTCTTCCATCTGAGTGATCGAGAAAGACCACTTCCTGTGCCCACTCAGCTTTCAACCGGTTGACATGATGACTCCTTTTCTCTTTCTTGTTTATCTGGGCACAGGACGTCGTAACCGAGTGGACCGGTTCTCCAGACTTCTTCGTATGGGCCTTGCCACTTTGCCAGGAGCTTGCTCTCGGTGTTGTGCAGAAGGAGGAGCAGCCTATTCACCTGCTGACACACTCGAGGATCTTTATTGAACTCGAGCCGGGGTCTACAGGCCCCGGGCCAGATTTCCGCCTATAAGTCACCCAAAAAGGTCTAGTTGCTCCCACCTCTAAGAGACTGTTGTAGCATGCTGGCCATCCTGTTCCATCAGCCCTCTCTCCTGGGAGGCCTTGGGGTTACTGTTTCTTGGGTGATGTTTATATGTGAGGATGTTCCATAACAGGCTTGAGGGATTGTCTTCCTTGTGCAAATTTGGAAAGGCACCTAGAACTTACGATATTGGTCACAACATCGGCATCTCACATTGGAGTACCTGGATCCTATATTCAGCTCTCACTCTTGACTCCAGCTTCCTACTAATGTTGACCCTGGGAAGCAATGGTGATAGCTCCAATCACTGGGTCACCGCCTCTCAGCTGAGGGGAGACCTGGGCAGAGTTGCCAGCTCCTGGCTTTGGCTCAGCTCAGCCCAAGCCCAGGAGAATCATTGGGAGATGAATCCATAAATAGAAGCTCGTTTTCTCTCCTTCTTCCCCTTTCTTTCTTTCTCCTTCTCTCCCTCCCTCTCCAAAAAACAAATCTAAAAAATCAAAACAGTATAGAAGACACCTCAGCAATATCTGAAATATGGACATTATTCCTGTCTTGAAAGCACTATATTTGGTATATTTGGTCCTGCTGTTGTCAGGGAATGGTGTTGTCTCTATTCTATGAGTGCTTTCAATGCTGGCACAGGGACCTGACTTACAATAAGCATCTTAGACCAGAGCTATCTGTGGGGTGACGACGGCATGCCTCTAACTGATGAATTCATTTATTCACACTTGGTGTTCTGGAAACGTATCTCATTCATACCATGCAAATTATAAATTCTCTTTGAAGATCAAATTGATATAAGATTAGATAAGCACATCATAGTGTCCGCCAGTGCTATACGTTTTATTCAGAGCTCCCTGTTATCCAAAGATAAACTGTGCCCTGCATTATTTACCTAATGGAAGCATTTGTACCCAAGGGCAGTGCCACCTTCTTGCTGCCTGTTTTGCTGCTGTAGCCTAACTTCTTGTCTACCCTCCCACTTCCCATAATAGGGTTTCAGGGAAAACATACCCGTTTTTAACATTATGCTTAAAGTGAAGAGAGTTAAAAAGATTATCTGAGTAATTGAATAGTTACTGAGACCAATTTCTATCTGAAACTATTGCTGTGTACTCTGTGGTAAGTGGGGGTGGGATGAGTTGGGAAAAAATAATACAGTATTTTCTAAGATCACAGTCTCAGAAAGTAGCTGGATTGATGGACTAACGTCTGTGAAACAATGAGTAGCACAATCATTCACACAGGTGTGTGCAGCCATTAGCTAGGTGCACACTAAGTAGGTAAGACATAGGTGAGAAACCATGAGAAAGGATTCAAGGAAGAAGAGCCTTATGGAAGAGCTTGAGAGATGGGTAGGATCTGCACAGAACAGGAGAATATGATGAGCAAGACAAAGCCGTGAAAAGTGCTATGAATGTTCTGGGTAAAATTCACACAGGACTTTGGATTATCAGGGGATGAAGGCAGCTGTGCCGAGGAGACTTTCCTGGTTATATTTTGCTACTGTGATAGCTACTCTGAGTTTTCACTTTCTTGTACATTCCCCAAGTTGTCATCTTGGAACTGTGAGAAAATCCACAGCCTTTTAAACATTCACGTGGGAAAGCTGGTCTTCAGTTCATGAGGGCTGACCTGGGAACCCTGGTGGCCATTTGACTCATACTCTCTTAAGGTGTTGCTAAATCTTGATAGGTGTTAAGAGTCTTCACTATGCCTTTTAGGGAGTGATTTCTCAGGTTTCCGTTTCTAGAAATTTCTAAACTCCTTCCGAGGAATTTGGATTTGAGAATCCAAAGCGCTGACTATGGATAGGATTTCTAATTAGAAGGTAAACAGACTATTTATCTTGATTGCAGGGAGTAGGGAGTGAGAGAAGTGAAGATGCTGTAATTAAAGGGTAGAGTGAAAGCAGGTTGCTTTCTGGCCTTGCAGAAAATAAACTCAAAGGAAACAGCAGAAATGCAGCTAAATGACTAGTTTAAATTCAAGGACTAATATCAACTTACTAAAAATATCAGAATGTTAAAGAAGAAATGTAGCATCACCTATTGGTGTGACATATGGGATTTCTTTCACAGACACTGGTCTGGCTGATCTGTAGGGTGCAGGGAGTTCTCTGATTCTAGGGTGTCCCTGAGGGAGCCTGGATTAGGGGAGGGGACAGCCCTTGAATTGGCAGCTCTAAGATCCCTTAAATTATGGCTGGCCCAAAGGAATGGTCTGCCCATATTCTGGCTCAGTTAGCGTTTTTAGAGATGTCTGTCTGGAGGGGGCAGAGAGGAGAATGGCATATGGCCTTGATTCTCAGATTAAGGAAACAACTGTGAAGCCTTGACCTCAAGCCAGTACTAGAGAGCATAAGGTTATGACTTGTTAGTTATAATTCCTTTTTCTTTTTATCTTTATTGGAAACACATATTTACAGAGAGAAGGAGAAACAGAGAGGAAGATCTTCCATCCACTGGTTCACTTCCCAAATGGCCACAGCGCCCAAAGCTGAGCTGATCCGAAGCCAAGAGCCAAGAGCTTCCTCTGGGTCTCCCATGTGGGTGCAGGGCCCCAAGACTCTGGGCCGTCCTCTGTTGCTCTCCAAGGCCACAAGCAGGGAGCAGGGTTTGCAAGTGGAGCAGCCAAGACATGAACTGGTCCCCATATGGGATGCCGCACTTGGAGATAGAGGATTAGCCAGTTGAGGCCTTATTATTGGCCTTATTATTCTTAGTGTTTTGGAGACAGAGGCTTCAGTGCCTGACCTCTTGGGACTGGGAAAGGACTAGTGAATCAGTCAGTCCCCGAGGGTTAGCTGCTGGAGAGAAGGATCTCTAGACGGCAGCCTTGCAGATAGCAGTGGCCAAAGCTGCCTGGAAACAAGTGCAGGAAGAGACTCCACAGGGTGGCTGGCTGACAGCAGATAGGACACCAGGGGCAGCCCCTGCAGACAGCAGTGTGGTTGGTCCTGCTTCTGTTCATAATCACGTTGAGTGTTTCTCATTGTCCCGAACTTGGATACCTGTCTTTATGTTGGTTTTTGGCACGAATACTGTTCCATGCTTCCAAACAACACCACAGATTTTCATTACATCTAGTGGACACTGACAGACCTGCTGTTGAAATCGAAGGATGCGCAAGTTGAGCAAATTAATGAACTTTTAGTTCATATGTATATAATTTTTTTGCTTTCTTCTTTAACTTATATTTTTAATGATCAGTTCCATAGGCTTGGAAATTTCCCTTCCACTCTCCCCATCTACCCTCCCCCCACATTGTGTTCTTATTAGTACAACAGTATAGTCCTTCAGCACCAGTCACGAGTCCATCATTCCTCTACTTAAGTGTATCATGGCATTGTAGGTGCAGACACTGGTAGAATCCAGCATCGTGTTGGTGGCTTTTATATTAAACTATGGCTTGTCTTATTAGTTGTTTCGCTTAGAATTCAATGGTTACTCATCCCTAAGATTAAAAGTACCATCTACTGTTTTAAATTTTTAAAACTATATTGGTTAGGATGTTATCTTCTTAGTTTAAGTCTTCACGTGCAAGAATAATCCCATATGTACTTCTGATTTCAATATTTGCCTTCTAGGTGCCAGGATTGCTGAGTATTCTCAACTGTATGACCAGATTGTATTCAGAGAGACTCCTCTGAAAGTTCAGAAGGATGGCTGGGTCAACCCCCAAGAATCCTCCATCTTCAGGGCTGCGTCACCTGCCCCGAGCCAGCATGGTGGTGAGGACTGGCTTTGGAATTCAACTTACAGCAATGGATTATTAGCGGATTTCTGTCCCCGGCCAGAGCAAGACTTGAGACCCAACTATCCCACTTTGGAAAACAGTACCAAAAGTCCTGCCAGACAGTTGTCTGCAGCCTGCTCTGTGCCTTCCCTACAGACCTCTGACACTCCCCTGGGCATCAAACAGAGAAGCAGCGTTATAGTGAACCAGCCCAACAAGGAAAACTCATGCCAGAGCCACCTTTACAACTCACTGGGCAGGAAGGGAATCAGTGCTAAACCTCAGCTTTATAACAGGTCGCAGTCATCGTCCTCAATTTTAATCAACAAGTCAGTGGACTCCATCAACTACCCTAGTGAGACGGGAAGGAAACAGCTGCTGTCCTTACACAAGAGTTCAAGGAGTGAAAGCCACCAGGATCTGCTGCCAGGTGTCATGGACTCATGCCAGCAGGGCACTGAAAAACACTCTGATCTTACACTCCAGGACTCACAGAAAGTTCTGGTAGTCAATAGAAATGTACCCCTCAATGCCCAAAGAGCAACACAGAACTACTTTTCCAATTTCAAAGACACTGAAGGCGATGAAGATGACTATGTGGAAATCAAGTCAGAAGAGGATGAGTCAGAATTGGAGCTATTTCACAATCGTAACAAGAAATCTGACTCAAAGATGACGGATACGAACCTTCCTGATACGGTTGTCAGCAACAACACATCTTACTCTTTAAGTAGTCCATGCACTCCAAAAAAGCCAATGAACAACAAACTCGGGGGTTCACCCTGTCTGACATCATATAACGATTCTGACAAACTGAATGACTATCTGTGGAGAGGACCTTCCCCCAATCAACAAAATATCGTGCAGTCTTTAAGGGAAAAGTTTCAGTGTCTTAGTTCCAGCAGCTTTGCCTAAGTTCTTAGTGACTGCTGCCTGAAATGGCTTCTTATGCTCATAAGCCCTGGAGAGCGATGAGGTGTTTTATACTTACAAGGTTAAGACAATTTTGTAATAATCACAGATGTAAAAACTACTTCCTTTTACAGCACAACTTTTGGAACTGGGCTGACAGTGCAGCCAGGATTGTACTGTAGCCAATGTCAGCTTCTAGCACATTGTTCTCTGATGTTAACTGTCTCCATGTTTCACGTAAGTCAGTCTTACTTGAAGGTTTTTAGGCTTTTTTAACATGATGACCATGATGTTGTTTTCCATTTCCTGACAATGCCCAAACTTTTAAGAAGTGCAATACTCTTATCACGTGATCCTGAGGTCCTCCATAGTTTTATCCTAGGATCAAAGGCAGCCAGGAGACTGTTTCCACAGATTTAAAAGGAAAGTTAAAGTTAAAGGGATTTAAACAATGATGGTTCTATCTGACATTTGTGTAACCTTTGTGGCTAAACCATAGTCTAACTTAAGCCAGAGATCTTTAACTACAGTATAGTCTATGGTGCCCACCCAGAAGTTTTGACATTGATATTCTTTATATCATTTCATTTTGACGCACAAAGTGCCTGCCTGTTGAAAGTTAAGACATAGTAGGATCAGTCTGGTGTAAAATCCCTTTTGTCTGATCCTGGACAAGGCCTAGAAAATGAGCTGCTTGTCTTGTTGACTGTGTGATTTCTGGGGTAACATCAATAATTGACTTAACCAGATTCAGCAAAATGCAAATTGACTCAACTACTTATAAAAAAGGAGGGGGTGTGTCCTAGGAACAACTCTATTATCCCTTCATTTGATAGTTTATGGAGGAAAAAGCCCACCTCGAACCTGTCTGTGATCCAAAGCTACACCATCAACTGAAATAAGGAAACGCACTGGAAGGCCTCCTTTCTAGCAGCTTCTCTGACACACCTTTATGAGGGCGAGCCTCCGAGCTTCTTCCCAGTCCGGTTGCTAAACCATACACAGCAGGGTACCTTTTCCATTTGCTTGACGCATGGAAGACCTGGTCTTCAGTGACAAGGTTCACCTAATAACATCTTCTGTGTTGCACTCATGGTTTTAAAACAGCCTTTCCTGGTGATGTTATAAAGGAGCCTCTATTTAGGGAAGGAAACCAAGGAACAAAAGTAAGAACCTGCAGGTTCAAATTGACATCAAAGAGGCTAAAGAGAACAAAGAAGATAGAGGTATTGCTGCTTCCAGAACGTTCCAGGTGACTGAAGACTCCGAGATAGATCTCACCTTAAGCAGGTGTAAATTCTGAGGCTCTCCCTGACACTCATTTTGCATTTTATTTTATTTTTCCTCTATTCTAATTTAAAGCCAATCAATTTCCATTTGTTTAAAATAACATGTAAAGGGAAAGGAGTTTTCATTTAAACATGAACAATAATACAGAATCAGTGAGGTCTTATTATGTCATACCATGATTCTTCTGCTTAAGTCCCATGCCTCTCTAACTGTAAACCATAAAATGTGGCCATGTGTTCCTGACATTATCTTTCTTTTTAAATAATGGGAAATAGTATGGGTTGCTTGTTTCTGCTAACTATTCGTTCTTCCCATAGTTTATAAAACAAAGTCCATGTTGAATAGCATGGTTTTGGAAACATTCCTTCCCTCATTGCTTCCATTTAAACACGATAATGACTTCTCAGACTTAAGCATTATCAAGAAAGGCAAGCATCATAAAGAAGTACAGTCTAAGACTTGCTAAAGAATGTGTGAGTTTGCCAATTTAGAACAGTTGCTTGACTTGTCTCCTGGGAGTTTCCCACTTTTGCTTTTTGGGATCCAAATTCTATGTAGTCCACTTGACTGTGGCATGTGACTCTCAGAAATCATCCTTCCTCAGCGTGGTGTTACGTGACTTTGAGGTCACCTGGGGGGAGATGCCCCATGGCACAAAGGTGAGTGTCGCGCTGTATAAAACATCTGTGCAATTCTTTCACGTCTAGGACGAATCTGTGGCAATACAGAGCACTTCTGTTGGCCAGAATGCAGATGTTACAAGATGTGTGCATATATATAATCATGTTCACATTTTTTTCTGCAAGTTATCAATTAAGTACTCTCGTCAAACAATTTCTTTTGGAGGTGGGGCGGGGGATGTATATAATTGGGGGATAAAAAGTTATCTGCATTTAAAGGTATGTCAACTTCTTTTTAGGTTCCTGTCCTGAAGGGTCAATTTTTTTAAAAAATAAGTTCATTTTTTACCTACTCTAGTAGGGAAGAAATGAGTCTAGGAAAACATAGTTTAAATACTGTATATAATATAGTGAAAATTAGTTATGCCTATTATTTAATAAAGTTTGTAAAGTGCAAAGTAAGTTATAGTCTGAATTAATGTGTTTATTCCAAGAACACCAAGGTTTTTCCAAACGACATAAAGGTCTACGATTTGTCTTGCCTTCTGGGTCATGCAGGAGAAAGGCCCAGGTAATGGCACAGTGGCCAATGACTGCGTGTTGTCTGTGTCCTCTCATTGCTTCTGAAAGACTGTTGTACCATTGGGGAGGATTTTTGTTTTCTTAGAGGTGACTAGATACAGGTCATTACCAAAGTACCTTTTTAAAATTGGTAGTTACAGAAGACACTCCTTTAGCTGTTTTATTATAAACAATTAATTTGGCACAAGTGAAGGCTTGTTTCATGTAACTTCATGTTCTGAATTTTCTAAACAAAAATTGTTCAGGGAACAAAAACATGCTAATATAAATTGGCAATTATGGATATTCTCCAAAGCAATCTCTATTTTCAGATACAGGCATGAAGTCCTAATCCGCTGTAAGGAAAATCTGATGGGTTTTCACAAAGTTCACTGATGTCACACATTGTGAAAGCACCTCACACATGGCTTTCCAGCATTTTGAACCAAAATACTTTAGTTCTACTTTTCTGTGCATTTTTAAAGTGCTTTCATTTAAGTTGTTGAATTTGTCTCACACTAAGGAAATCAGGTATAAAACTTTAGAATGTTCTAGGATGAAGAGTTTCTACATTCACATGGAACCTGCAGACCTGTCTCATCTTATTGTTGGCCACCCTGAAGTTAGGAATGGCTGGGTTTGCTTCAGGTCATCATAGTTCAATATGGAGAAACAAATGACAATAGAAAAAAAAACCATATCCTATGTCAATACTATCCAGAAATTAAAACCTATGGAAAAAGAAAAAAATTGTAAAAGTCAAACTTTTAATATTGAGCTATAAACATGACTGCTGGATATGAATATTTAATAACTTGTTATGTGTTTGGTGTCCCCCCCCAAAAAAATCTCATTTTGAAGAGCAAATTTTAGTAACATTTCAAGAACCTTAACATCTTCTTTGGTGTATAACTTTAACTGTATAGTGGTAAATACACCAGGTTGTATCACTCAGAAAGGCATCACAATGAGAAATTTTACCTTTTTGCTAATTGATGTGTTTACACATGTTAAATTTCATCCTATGTATAAGATTCTGAGCTCTCTGTTGTGCATTTTGCATTTTTTAAATTAAAAGTGTATGAAGACTTGAGCCTTCTCTCCTTGTTAGCATCTCACCTTTTTCTCATCTTACTAGTATTTTGGAGCATGGAGCTACCCTGCACTAAAAAGCGTTATACATGCAGAATCTATGTAAATTGTGTAATGGAAAAGTACTAAAATAGAATGTGTTTGATCCACAGATACCTGGAAGCTCCTTTGCACCAGCCCAAAAGTTCTGTTTTTTTACTGGCTTATTTGAAAGGCAAATTTTTTATAGATAGAGAAGGATAGACAAGAGCCAGGGAAGGTCTTCTGTCTGTTGGTTCACTCCGCAAGTGACTGCAACAGCTGGAGTTGAGCTCATCTAAAGCCAGGAATCAAGAGCTTCCTCCTGGTCTCACATGCTGGTGCATGATCCCAAGGACTTTGGGCCATCCGAAGCAGTGGAGGATTCCACTGCTTTCCCAGGCCAAAGCAGGGAGTTGGGACACAAACTGGTACCTATGTGGGATGCCAGAGCCAACGTGTGAGAATTCACCTGCAGCACCACCATGTCAGCCCCCTAAAGTTCCGTTTTGAAACTTCAGAAGAATACTCTAAAATCTAGCATGTGAAATTACAGTCTAATTTGCTTCCTTGAAGCAGCAAAAAAAAAAAAAAAATTCTAACTAGTGCTGTCTAGTCCCAGGACATGTTTAGGTGTCCAATCCGTGCTCTTCTAATGAGTAAGCAGAGGTGAAAATTTGATCACAAAGCATGAAAAGTGCATTCAAGTCATATACACAAAGGAGAGGAAAACAACAACCAAATTGCTTTTAAAAATTCACAGAATGTTCAGAAATAAGTGTCATCTGATTATTTTTAGTTCTATCATTAGGAAAGACTACCTGCCTGGCAAAATCCACTCCTCCATCTTGGCCTCATATGAGCTGGTGAATGTTGCGGCCTGGCCCGCCCCATACCCTGTTTTAGGATGCTGTAGCCTGGACCTGCCCAGCTTTTCTCGGTCCCTGTACCTGTGAGTGTTAGCAGGTTCCATGGTCACATCTAGCTCAGCCCATCACCACCCCAACTCTTGAGCTAACCAGCAGGACTTGCATTGCCACAGGGTTTGGCCCACATATCTCCACACAATCTACCCTCAGACCTGGTTCTCTTGTGTGCTGGTTAGTGTCATGGCCCCACCTAATGTGACCCATCCCCTGTTCCGACATTCAGTCAGGAACTGGCATCTAGTCCTGCTACACAGGCCCCAAACCCTAGCTTTTGCATGGATTGGTATGTGGTGGTCAGCAATGTTCTATCCTAATAAGCCCAACTCTGGACTCCCATGGGGGCTGGTACATGATTCTGAACCATATAGATCCTTCAGTCTCTCCCCTCCAAACCACAAGGTCTAAGTCCCTTCACTTAGCTGCAAGTACAGTGGCCCTGTCATTGAATATCCCTCAGGATTCATTCCTTACCTACACGTACAGTGGCTTTATCCATGAATGTACCTAGACAATAATTCCAGATCCCCAAGATCCCAGACTTTGCTTCCAGGTGACCAGCGGGCAAAACCCAGCTCCCTTGTCACTCTGGCTGCCCACAAGCCCAGGATTTGACCACCGCCTTGCGGCAGTGGACGGAGAGCTAGGATCCCCAGCAGGAAGTCTGGCTTGACACAGGTTCCCCACATGGCTGGGAAATTCAGACACCCACACCTCTGAGCAGACTTACCTGGACTCTTCCAGCAACACTTTAAGCTAAGTATCCAGAGGGGCCATGAGGGTGGGACCATTGTGTCTACCTCAATGTTCCCTTTAGGCCATATTCCTTAAAATAACTGCTTTTGATACAGTGAGGAATGCCTGAAACACAGATGAAGTGGAGGGAAGGGGTCTAATGTCTTCATTTTTACAGAAGCTAAACTTGCCCAGTGTTCTATTGTGGTACATGCCCATGAGCAATGTATCCTCTGTGTATTTACAGAAAACCAAGCCCCAGCTTTCCAACCATGGCATTGTTGCACAGGCATCCTTCAATAGGAAAGGAAGAGAAGCAGGCAATTCCACCTCACTGGTTCCAAAGTCACATCTGTTCAACTCAGCATTAAAGAACAGGGCTTGGACAGGGCTCAAAACTTCTACTGCATGGGGCAAATCCAAGCTCCTGAACACATTGTTCTCATGCAGCCATCCACTAAGACCAGAGTGTGAGCAGATTCTTCCATAGAAACAGCAGCCCAGGGGCTCAAACGCACAGGTGCATTCCACAGCTGCTCTCATAGAAAAGTCAGCTGGCCCACGTGGGCCTGGATTCTAGCAAGGCACCACTGGGAAATCTGAAAAAGGGGATCTAGAGTGACGGTCACCCTCAGGGGTGACAGCTCACCTCGACCGTCTCCAGAAGGCAGTTCCTGTGCTCTCCATGATAGACGGGATAAGAAGTTCAAGTGAAAGCACCCACAAAGCACTTGAAAGCAGGTTTTTAGGGACAGAGGAAAGGCCTGCCTTGTAAGTTCAGACAACCATGTGCTCTAAGTGTCTGCTGAGTGTGTTGCCACCTGCCTAGGGGGACATTGTACCACATCTACTTCACTAGTACACATACCTGCCTGGCCTCTGCAAGCCTTAGGTTGTGACACCAAACTCTGTCCTCTCCACTCTCCTTCAACTGTAGGCATTCATTGAAGGCATAAACTGTTCTTCATACTCGGTTCCATGTGGGTTCCAGAGGGAGTTTTCCTACAGGACATCTTTACCTGAGTGTCCGCAGCTGAAATCAGTCTCCACCTGGCTCTCCTCCACTCATCCCAAGCCCCTTGTCTGGTCTAGGCTGCCTAGTCGGTTGCCTGGCCACCGCCTCCCCCACTTCCATCCTCCCTGCCTTAGCCAGATAACACATCTAAACACAAACACAAGGAAACTATCCCTTCAGCCCTGCTCCCGCTGCCCACGGACAAACTCAGTCCTCCACTCACCCCAGAAACCACCATCAAAAACCGGGAAGAGGGGTATCTAAGATGTCCCCCAGTTTTGCACACTTACAAATTCTCCTGCCTCAGGTTCACACGCCCTGGCAAATGGCATGAGGGTGGTGGCTAGAGGCCAAGGGCATCCTGACAGGCCAGCGGCACAGACTGTACCTACACTGCTCCCTCTTACTCCACCCTCCCCTCCCCTCCCATGCCAGCAGCCCTGATGAAAGTTGCGCGCGCACACACACACACAGCATTTGTCCATTGCTGAGGAGACTTAGGGCAGGAAGCTCTGACCCTTAAAGGGGTAAGCTGGCAACCCTGGACAGACTTGGAGTCAGACACTGACTTGCCCTGGACACACACACACCCGCCCTTAGACCTTTTATCTGTATCTGTGTCTTTATGTGATCTATGAATGCCTTTGAACTGAAATCTGGGGCCAGAGCTAAGGTGAGATGAGAGAAACACAAAATGCAAGAGATTGAAATAATTTTCTCGGAATTGTAACTTCCTTTTTCTTTTCAAAAGTATTTCCCAATATCTCTCAGATATGTTTATTGAAAAGGCAACGTGACAGACGGGCAGAGAGAAGGAGAAAAAGAGATTCCATCTGCTGGCTCACTCCCCACATCTGCAACAGCTGGGCATGGACCAAGCCGAACTCAGAAGCCAGGAATCCCATCCGCTTCCCCTGTGTGCATGGCAGGACCTCAAGTTCTCGGACCAGTATCAGCTGCCTTCCAAGTGTATAAAAAGGAAGGTCCATCAAAGGGGGAGTAGCAGGGACTTGAACCAGAACTGTGGTACGGGCATCCCATGCAGTAACTTCACATGCTGGGCCACAACTCCTAACCTACAATATTAAAGATGGAGAGACAAGGTTGATCC